TCTGGCAAGTGCACAAGGACTGGAGTTAACCATCTGGAATTCAAAGGTAACAGCTAACAGCATGGGACTTAGGTGCAGCAGATTCCTGCAACTACACACGCCCGTTGACACAGTTCGCATTCCATGTGTGTTCAACGGTATGGTATGAAACCCACGACAGCACGTTGTAAATACACATCGGCCACCCCTTCAAGCCTGCCTATACATACACCAACAACAGGCTTTCACCAGCGGCCAATACGCTAAGTAAACATGTGACGCTAATATACGTGTAAATGTCATCCCCTGCCACTTCAAGCCCGCAAGGCAATCGAGTAACCTTACCACGTAATGGAACGCACTTTGGGTCGGATATCGAAAGGAATCGAAAGGATGTTGAACACCATGGTAACAGGCATGGGTCAGAGCACATAAGGAAAATGCAAGGTGAAGCAAGGCAACTGAATTTCCCCTCCACGCATCAACGTTCGGAGATGGCTTTCTGCCTTTCATCACCGCACCAGAACCTCTACACTGGCACCAGACAAGTGATTTCTGCGCATTGAACACATTCACCTGCAAACGTCGAGCCGACACCCCAGTTCAAGGCGTCCCGATTATTCAGCTCATATATAGTCGACCGCCAAAACAAGCCCCGCTCATGGCAAGTCGTAGCCAGACGGTAAGCTACACGACCGTATTTCTCGACGCATTTTACCTGCACATCAACGCAAGCTTATGCACCACATTAACTCAAAGCTTTACCCAACTACAGTGACATCGTCATCAGTTTCGGAATCACCAATACTGAATCCGAGCAATCCCGATGGCCTGCCGCCCCCTGGCATTGGCACTCGGCTCCTCTGCTGCTGTTGGCCGCTGCCGCCGTCACTGTGTGGGTCCCCATCGCCCACACCCGCACACAAACCGAGCCCGGGTCCGTCATATGGCGGCTCATGACGCACCTCCAGCACGCTGTCGGACCCACCCTCGTCACAACCCGCTCCAGCACTTCCCTCTCTCCGCGCGACCGCCGCCGGGCTCTTGCATCGCTGCCGCACCGGCAACGGAGACACCGACCAACCTCCCGACGCCGCGCCGCCGTGCACTACACCGTACCTCTGAGCGGACTCTCCCTCACGCCCGCTGACTGCGCATGCTGGCGCAACACGTGTGTCCCAAGATGCAGCTTCAATACTTGGTGACGGCGCACTAACTACGTTGCCTTGCTGACCGAGGAGTTGACCACGCGCGTCGCCAGTACAGTCGCCGCTGCCACAAGCTCCAAGCTGGCATGGACCAGGCAGCAGCTTGGGGCTGCGCATACGCTTGCTCGCTGCATGTTCTGCCTGACCTATAGCCTGTTCTGGCCCCGCGCGCCCAGCGTCCACGACGACCACCTTTGCTGCCCGGTTGTCTAGCCTCCTTCGCAGGGGCAGCGGGGTGCACAAGTCCATCACTTCACGCGTCGTGAGCTGCTGGTCCCGTGGATGATGCAGCCCCGGCCTTGCCCCATAGCAGTTTTCGTCCTCACTCTCGCCTCCGCGCGCATGATTTTGGTCTCCGGCAACAGCTTCCGCCCGACAGGGTTTTACTTCAAGTTGCTGCTGTCCTTGCCGTGCGCAGCGAACAGCAGGCGGTTCAGTCTGACCGCCATCTTCATCCGTCGGTGGCGAAAGGAGCAGCCCGGATGCGGCTCGCTCGGTGTCCGCAGGCATGGATGCGGATGCCTTAGCGCCGCTAGGGCATGGGCTGCCACCGGCCTCTGGCCGTTGTCTTAGCTGTGGAGAGGTGAAAGGGCAACATTGTGGCTGTGACAGCAGTCCCGCTGGGCTGCTGCCGGAAATGTGCCCCGCCTCGGCCTGAGGACGCCCCGGCGCGTCCTGCGCAGGACCTCCGCTGCCTGGCTCGTTCAGGACTGGGCTGCCAAAGGCAGGGCTGAAGTAGGCACCGCTTAGGCCAGATTCATTCTCACCGAACGTGGGAGCTATCAGCACAGCCAGCCCGGCGCTGCTCTGACACTGCAGCGACGCGTCCACGTTCATGGGAGATGGCGGGTGGTGCGCCACTGGGTCAGCACGCGGGGGCCTTGCGTTGCGTGGTGTAGCCTGGGATGTAGCCCAGGCCTGTCCGCGACGGTGAGGAGACTGAGAGCACGCAGCGCGCGGGCTGCACGACACGTCCAGGTCTTCCGAATCAGTGCATTCGCTAGTGGTACCCAGGATAACCAAATCTGGCAGAGGCTGATCGGGCATGGGCAAAGAGCTGGGAGGGTAATTTGTCCGGGACGATACCCGTCCTTGCCCCGGTGATGGCGGCTGTTGATCCAGCTGCGTCCGGCTGGCCGGTAGTTCATTACCTCGCCGCCCGTCCTGATGGTCCGCATCGTAAAGCGCTGTCCCAGGAGCATCACTGCAACTGCCAGGTCTCGAACCCGCACCGCCGCGTGAACATGCTCCCGACACTGCCCCTGCGTGGAAGTGCCCCATCTTCAGCACTGCGCCGCCGTCCTGCTGTCTCTCGTCCTCCCACCAGCTGGGTTCTCCTTCTATGATGCCGTGGTCGTCCTCCCCTGCGCTCGCGGTGCCTTCGGAGTCGCTTGTAAGAACAACGACCCGATGCGGGCCTAGCAATGCGGCTGAACACGAGACGCCAGTTGCCTTGGCTGCGCCAGCCGCCCCAAGCCCCGAACCGCAGGTGGTGCCCGTGGCAGCAGCAGCGGCCGGGGCCGCTGCTGCGCCAGCTCGGGCCTGCAGCCGCAGCCAAAGCGGCACGGGAGATAATTCCCTGAGCTCTGCATTGTGGCCGGGTTCGCAATATCCCTCGCCAGCTTGCGCACTGGGCAAGGAGCCGAAGCTCGGCGGCGGAGGCTGGTCTGTTTCCTTCTTATGCAGCGCGCCTTCTGGGGAAAGCTCGCGCACCCGCCGCTGTCGCTTGGGCGGTGATCCCCCGGGCTGCCCGGCCAAGATGATCCGTTGGACCTGTGCGGAGCAGGGAGATTTGAGTGTTGCAAGCAGCCATGGAAACGGTGGTGCCGAGGTGTTTCGGCAGATGACAGTCCCGTGATACCCAGGATACTACACGAGGTTCTGAAAATTAAGGTAAGAGGGAAGCTGACCAACAACGGACACCACGCCGCAGAAATGGGAACTGTTTCCGCGGAAAGGGTAGGCAAGTTGCGGCAATCTGGTTGTTGCAGTATACAATGCTCCTAGACGTTACGGCGTGGTGACAAGGCTCTAAGAAGGAAATTACACGTGCTTCGGCAGCCAGTTTGCACCTGGACATCAAATGCGGCCCGGACAGGGCGTGTCCGTGTGCTCACGCAGTGAACCTGCGCACACGGAGAGGCGGGACCTAGGGTAGGACGCCCCCAAAGCCTGCGTACCGCGGTCGCACCTCGTCCGCACCATCCAAAGGCATAGCGTCGGCACCTGTCAGCGGTACAGTCGCCCCAGCTGGTTTCGCCCCTTGCGCGACCGGCTTCTTCCTGCTACGCGGCTTAGGCACTTGACCGTCTTGCCGAACGGTCACGCCTGCCGCATTGCACGGTCCCTGACTACCGCCCTGCGCTGACCCAGACCCTGGTACGGGTTCCCCGACTCCACCATACACGTCGCAACTGCCGGCTGTCGCATCCTCCGACCCGGGAGCGCCCTTCCGACGCCTGGCGGTGCGGCCAGCTGTACCGCTTCGAGGCTTACTGCGTTGCATAGCTGCGAGACCAGGTACCTGTTGCTTGGGCTCAGCCAGCTCGCAAGCGCCGGTGCCATGGGTTTCGTTCGTGGCACAGTTGTTGATAATGGGGGCTCCGGACCCAGTCAAAATATCCGCCGTGTTGCTTGCTTCCTGAAGCTCAGACTCGTTGTGTCCTGCCTTGGCCTTGGCCGCGCGCTTGCGTGGTTTGGCCACGGGTATCGTCGGCTCACCTGCCGCCACATCGGGCGCTGTGATTTTGCCCTTTCGACAACGTGAGCCTGCTGGGGCGCCTTCTGCTGCAGCCAAGGCAGCAGTCTTGGCCTTCCTCCTGCACAGGAAGTCACAGGATTGATGTAAGCCGTAGAGCCAGGTGCAACTGACAGTGAAGTAAAGGCCTTGAAGTAAAGGCCTCACGGCGCCTGCGCCCTTGGGTAGTGGAGCAACTCACTAAAGGTTGGCGTCACGCCGTTGCAAGGTGGTGTACATGATAAGCGCATGCCGTAACCAGTGCCTTAGAACTTGTGCAGAAGCTTATCTGCCCAGATTCGGAATATGATAACTCACAACAGCATGCCCAAGGCATGACGCCGACGCCACCCCAACCAACGGCGTCCGCTTGTCTGCGTACCCGCGTCTCCCGCGGGTCTTGTTGCCCCAGCCGATCGTCTGCATGCCTCGCAGCATCGCCATCCAAGTGTGGAGAGTACCGCACGCGGGGCAGTGTCCTTGCTCAGGCACGCCCCCAAAGCGGTCCCCAGCGGCGACGCCCTCGGTGGCCGACCAGCGGGCCGCCAGGCAGTCCAGATGAAATGCAACGCCACAGGCACCGCAGACCAGGATGTGCCGTTGGATAACCACCTGGCAGATTTGGCATGGCAGGCGGGCGTTGCCGCTGCTGGTGCCTTCGGCACGGGCGCCTGCAGGTGCCGCTGATATGGCGGCATCGGTCTTGTTAAGCCCCAACCGAGCCTCGCGCAGAGGCACACCGAGGTGGTATCCTCGTGAGACCTGTAACCTCGCGCATGGGGTACGACACGAGATCCATGGGTGAGCTGCTTTCGTAAAGGCCAAACGTGCAAACGCTGAATCAACAAGAACTTCTCCCAGAACGACTTCCATCCCTCCAAACCAACCTGTTACTAGCCTGCACGACTGGTATCACCGGCCATGCGATACAGTGGATTTAATGCCATCTAGCCCAGTGCACACCTGCTCACCTCTTGTCCAGCGCTGTCCTCGCCGTCGCTGGTGCCCGCAGTATCATCACTGTTGCAGCTGCAATCCCCGTCGGGTATGCCCTTTCGGACGCCACTGTAGCCCACGTTCCGCTCCCTGCCGCTAACGCCGCCCTCCCCAAGCTCCTCTTGCTCATCCTGCTCCTCATTAGAATCCGGATCATCCTCATCCTCATCGTCGTCCAAGTCGTCTAGCGCTCGTGGGAGGTCTTCCAACGGGGCCGTGAAGACGCGCACATGGCAGGGCGCGCTCACAACGGTCTCTACGATTGCAACCAACAGAAGGCCGTGTCCACGTCAGGGCAAGTTTCTCTGTTAGTACCTGAGGATCCTCCCAGTATTGGGTGTATCGCAACATAGGAAAACCCTAGGCTGCCGTAGGTTGTGCAGCTCAGACATGGCGGAGTTAAGCCAATGTTGCGTCAAAATCTCAGCGACATCGCTCTTGTGGCTTGCTTGTGTCAGAGCCTTGCTATCCAAAACGTGTTTTATTTTCTGCCGTTGTCCTCAGCAGCAGACAACGGCCTATTGCTTGCCTCTTTTTCCTAAGATGCTGGGCCCAAAGCTGGTGCTTAGCAGTGCTTCGGCAACTTAGTGACTTACCATGCGACAACCCATGCAGACTACGACTTACAGGCAATACACTACAGCCAGCTGTATCAGTCGCGACGGTTCGCACGTACCCTTGATCATGGCCTCGTACTTAGGGTTAAGGTACTGCAGTGTCAGCGGAAAATGCCGCCACGGAGACTCGTGCAGCATGCTGAGCATGAGGAGGATCTGCGGCAAAAATCGGACGGCAATGGAAGGTGTCAGGCGAATACCCATCGCTGGCTGTGGAGCTTCCGCCGTCCAAGCCTCCAGCTCCTCCAGGCCGCAGCGTACGGCCAACCATGCTGTAACGTGTGATAGTATCCGGGTGTACGCTATTATAGCAAAATTCCAAACTCTCCTACCAAGCACCAAGGCAGTTTGCAAGCAACCATGCTGTAACGGTAGTTTACAAGGACTCCAGCAGGCTTGCCGTACCTTCCCGCGAACGCCCTGGAGCTTTTTAGAACCCAAAGCTTGCGCGATGGGCCTTACGATGACGCTTCGCAGAGGGTGCTGCCACGCCCATTCGAACTGTAGCGCTTGGATCTGTTTTACACACCAAACATGCAGGAGAGTATTGTCCTTTGTGTAGAATCTGAAGCAGCTTCGGATCAGGCAGCACGCCATGTGCGCTTGTATGGTATTGCATGCTTCATTTCCGATCGGAAGGGAAGGTAATCTTACGCCGGTACTACATGGCGCGCGGCCAGCTGCGACGTCGCCTACCTTCGTTGGGAAGCCATACAGCACCAACGTCATCTCCCAAGGCCTGCCCCTGGAATCAATGAAATGTTTGGCCGTCCAAATGCATAGGGAACTTTTAACTTACAGGCCTTGATTATTCGGTGCCGATCGTGAGAAAGCAGTAGTAGGGAGGGCCCCGGCATAGTCGGGGTTTACAGGAAAACGGCACAACACGGGTTTCACATCTTGTTCACGGCTTAGCTGCACCAGGGCAGCGTTCCCCTACCTTGAGGTCTTCCATGCCCCAGCCTTTATCAACCCGTTGTGCTGTCGGATGCGCCGTCGGGGGTTGACCGTGAACCTTCAGTCCGTAAGTCCAGCTGTCAGTATGCCCGAGACAAAGCGGCGATGACAGAGCATCCTCACCCGATGTACGTCCTCCCCTTCCCTTCAGGTGCCAGGCTGAATAGTAGGTAGCACCCGAAGAAGTCGCGCATTCCTAGGGCGTCTCAAAGATACATATGCGTTTCCTATGCCACACCATCAGCAAGTTAATCAGCTCTAATCGCTCAGCCTTTCATAATCCTCAAATCGTTCTGCAATTAGGAGGCCGAAAGTGAGGCTTGTACACCGAAACCGAAGGTTACACAATGACGCAGTCGAATGCAAGCATGGATTTACATATTTTACTAAAAACGATTGAATAGAAGTATGCCACTTAAACCATTTGATTCCGCGTATAAATCATGAACGACAGCTCCATCGCCCTCCAAGAGGGATACCCCTGCTATACAGTACACGGTGAATATTGTTCATGCTATCACTAGAAGTAGATTCCGTTACATGTAAAGCACTTTCTCTGCTGAAATAGATAGTTACGTTCTTTAGATGGTCATCGGTTGACAGATAGCTTCCGTCGTTATCAGGAAGGGATGGACTGGGAACTGACAAAAGAGAACTGCGTCCCAGTTCGTCAGGGCCGTAGTAAAGCTGCCCTGCAGGAGCTGGCGGACCCAAGACTTGAGGGGCTTGAGGCAAAGCGGAGGTAACAACGCGTACTTGCGTTGCAAGATCGCCACAACCTTTCACAGCCAACATGTCTTGCTTACAGGGAGCTTTGGGCGGAGGTTACTGATTATAGGGGAGACGACCCGCTGGAGCCTTGGCAAAGGTGACCCATCCTTTCAGTCTCGGATCCTGGGCATATATACATCTTGGCCAAAATGGCTTAACCCAATGGTCACCTTTTGCAGGTATATTAAATGGATGCAAGAGTATGGTGTGGGCGGTGGAAAGGCTGACCTCACTAAGGTGCTAGAGGCTTGCACCAAGGAGCTGCAGAAGTATCCGCGCTACACGAATGATATACGCTGTCTTCGTATATGGATTCAATACGTAAGTCCCTCCGTGGCATGGTCAAGAGGGCATGACGTGCAAAACAGAACTCACTATCCGGGTTCGGTGCGTAACTAAACCCTTCGACACTACAGGCAGATTGCTTGGCGGATCCGGACGACGTCTTTTTGTTTCTCAAGGTTCGCTGCAGCGCTTAGAGTAGTTCTATTACATGTAACGCAAGGACCATCTGGGCATGCTTAGCTTCACACTACCCATCGTACAGGAAAAGGGTATTGGCCGTGACTTCGCTTTGTACTACGAAGCTTATGGTACTTATTTTGAGCTGAAGGGCAACTTTCAAGCTGCTGATGCTGTGTACATGGACGGCATCCAACGGTGGGTAGAAAATGGTTCACAAGGAAGCGTGCCAAACCCACTTTTTGTTCCCCCTGACTTTTAAGTGCCCGTGGACTGCTGCAGTGGCGTCAAGCAGTTAGAGCGTCTGAAACAAAAGCACATGGCCTTCCAACAGCGTATGGTGAGTCGTCTATGCTTCATCCTCGTAGCCACCGCGATGCCCTAGCAGCCCATGGGCTTAATACAGTTGCAGAGCTCCGAACATAACCTCGCGTGGCCTCGCACAAGCATGCTGATTGCACTCCGCGTATAAGCGCTCTCTTCTTTGCTTGAGTAGTGGACTTGCGTTGATGCCTCGGCCAGCAATGTCCCCCAGTCGATGTTCGCATGCTAACAAACACGACACTTCGTTGCCGCCACACAGCTAGTCGTACACGACGGCTCCCGTTATATCCACCCCCTCAGGCGCAGCGCGTACAGCGCCGGATTCAGGATGAACAGGTCATGGGGCCTCCGCCCCAAGAGCCCCTGCGCGTTAACTTGGGTACGATAGGGACGAGGGCCGCTGCGCGAGGTCAACTGGGGCAGCAGCAGCAAAGTGCGGCCGGTATCTTCAGTGTTGCCGCCGTGCCGCAACAGCCTTCCAGGCTGTTCGGACCTCGCCCAGGCGCTGTGCAGCAGGAGCGCGGGCAGCGGCCCTTCGTCGGGTTACATGAGGATGAGGAGTTTGTCATAGGCGACAATCCACGACCATCACTACCGGGATATAGCATGATGCCCCAGGTATGCACCAGAGCTGCGGAGGATGCAATGTTTGACTAGAACGGACCTAGCCTAGGCCATGAAGTCCGTTGACAGGTGGTTGCGTGCGCTATCCTGTATGCATCGTGTAAGCTTTGTGAAGGCTGCAGTTACCATGCATGGAAATCTGGGATCTTGGAATTATCCTTTCCATGATGTGTTTATGGTGAGGAGCAACACGCAATGCACGCCCTGTTCCACGTCTTCATCGGCGAGGTCATTGTGGATCCATGTCAAATCTATCTTGCGACGCAGTTGAACAATCTGGGGGAGCTGCAACCAGTTGGTATCAGGCGCAAGGAGAACTTGGACCGTGCCCTCGCATGGAACCAGGCAGCTCTGCTCCCAGGTACTGCTGCAAGTGCCGCCGCGCCGGCCAGTACCGCAAGCGGTATTCAGGTCTTCACCGACGAGGAGTTCCAGGACGGCGAAGCTAGGAGGGCTGGGTGTCTGGGGCAGCTGGAACATGGCGCGCCGGCGGCATTGGTGGGTCCATCGACCGGCCAGTCACTGCTACTGCCAGGGGCCAGCAGGTTGACTGCCGGCGCTGCTTCTGGAGATGTGGATGCACTCATGTTCAGTCTCGCTCCGCCGGTGACACTTCTACACGGCCTGCAACCAGGTCCCCCGCACTCAGTGTCCCAGTCGGTGGCTGCTCTCTCGATTTCGGGAAAGCCAACTGTGGCACAGCAGTCGAAGGCGCCCCTAGATGCTCAATTCGCGTGGGCAGCTGCAGCAGGCCCGCTTACCGACGGAGGTGCGCTCAGCCGGGGTGGCCATACCACCCTGCCTGGCGTGATGCCCGCTGGGGCGCAAGCCGAGGCTTCAGCACCATCAGTGACTGCCGCGGCAACGGACGGCAGCCATGAGGATGGAGGTGCTGAGGAAGAGATGTCCTATGAGGAGCTCAGGGCTGTGGCTTGGTTCCGGGGTAACCCGGCTCCCTCGCATGAAAACCGAACGGGAGTTGTCGTGTACACGCCTTCCGGACTGGGCAGCAGCTCAATGGCCCACGGTGCCGCGCAGCAGCCTGGCGCAGACCCGCAAAGGGCTATCCTGCCTTTGCTGCCCCCAGCGGTCCGTAATGGTGCCAACGGCGCGGAGAACGCTTCGGCAGCAGTTGTTGCCTGTGGCTCAGCCCGGGGAGAGGCAGCATCAGCAAGCGCCGCACCACGGCGTGCTCCATTCGGGCAAGTCATTTCAGCTGTGTTGGGGGGAACAGGAGCGCCGAAACAGTATATGCAGAGCGACAACTGCACGGCTGCGCTTGAGAATGGCTCGGCAATTAGTAATGGAGGTCAACAACGACGACCGCTAGCTGACGCCCCACCGGCCGCGCAGGCCCCTTCGGGCCATCCGCCCAATGGCTCCGTAGGTACCGTTTTCCCCACGACCCCACCATTCGGGCTCCAAGACGACCCACCGCCGCAGCTGCCAAAGCCCACTAACAACGTCAGCACCAAGGTATGTGACGATGATCCGCAACCTACGGTGACCATCTCCACCCGGGGTGCCTTCGATTTGATCAACTCGCTTTTCAGTGAGGACCTCCCGCTTCAAAATGAGCGCGCCGAACGAGGACAGCCGCGACCATGCAGCACCCTGGCAGATCCCCTGGCACCGCCCGCGGCAATACAGCCGCCGGCGGTGGTGGTGGAAGCCAGACCTCCATGGTTAGAGCCAAAAGCAGCGCATTCGACTTCGCTTCCAGCGCCGAAGCAGCCACTTGCAGCTGAGCCGACGGTGACGCTTCACACCAAGCTGGCTTTCGATGCATTGAACGACATGTTTTGCGACACGCTGCCACATGAGGAAGCTCGCAAGGTACGCCAAACGGTTCTGCTCCGGGATAGGAAGACGATAGGCTGGGGTTATTATGGGGAGTTCCTCCACGGAAGAGAGGCGCAGAAAGGGCCAGGAAGGCCGCAACCACGTCAAGAAACTCGGATGACCTTGCAATATCAGAAGCTCCCATTGCCCATGCAAATATGTCCATATTTGTACGCATATTTGGTACGCGGTTTGCTAACTTCTGGGTTACGGATCCTTGCCCGCTCCTACGTGCAGCTCTCGCGGCGCCTGGCGTCCGATGGTGGAAATGGGACGATGCCTATGAAGCCCATCAGTGCATCGGACGTGTGCCGCCTAGCCAACGCCGCGCGCAGCTCCAGGGCGGCAGCCCCGGTCATTGGCCGTAGGGAGCCGCTTTCCAGCAGCTGTGGCGGCTTTGGTGGGCCACATTGCGGCGGCCAGGAAATCAGCACGGTGACGGCGCATGGGTTTATAGCAACGGCATCGAGCTTGGCCATTCACGAGGATACCTTCTTCCTGGGGCCCGCCACCGCGGCTGTGTGCGGCGACGCGGTCCAGGGTCCTGGGGGGCCCGCCCTCCAGGCTGGCCCGCCTCTAAGCCACGTGCACAACTCAGTGCACCAGCCGGATATGCGCGCCATGTACGAGGACACAGAGTTCATCCCCCGCGGCGGCAACGCCGTTTCCGCCAGCGGATCTTTCATCCTCGAGGACACAGAGTTTGTAACCCGACACCATGGCCCTAGCATGGCAGGCCCCAGCTTGGGCGGTTACGAAAGGGCCACCAAGGCTCAAGGCGACAGCCGCACTGGTACGGTTCCGACTACAGCACCGAATGCACGGCCAGGACACAGGGATTTGTGCGCGGTCAGAGGTGGTACTCGCGCCGCAACGAATGGCTTCCATCAGCGTTCCGCTCCGAAAAAGTCGTTGCAGGTGTACGAGGATACGCAGTACGACCTGGGCGAATAAAGGGCTAAGCGGTTAAAAGGAGATGCATAGGAACGTACGGTCGGCTTCTGCCATGATATTGTGACGATTTGTGCTACACCTGGACAAAAATGCCATGTTGTTGTAACGAATATCGGTTTCTTGTAGCAACCTTGAGAAAACGGCACGAATAAGCCGGACGTACGAGCCTGAAGTTTATCACATGAATTTCTGCTTTTCTTGTCCTCATCGTTTTCCTTGTCATATTGGTTCCATGCGCCTTACTTATGGCAAGGAAGTAAGGGTCCTCAACCCAAAAGGTCACCGCAAAGGACCAGGAGTTTCGTTTAGGACGTAGAGAATAAGGATGGGGATTTGCATTAGCGTATGTCCTGTAGAGTCTCGACTACAGTCCGCAGTTTCGGAGGGGGGAAACTCGTCCGCCAAGGAACTAATCCCGGTGAAGGTCCAACAGACGGTTAAGGTAGGTCACAACGAGTAGAGGTAAATTTGCAATGAAGAAGTGGTATTATGTGCGCAACGCCATGCCCACGCTGTTTCGAGCCTCAGGGACGATGTTTGCGCAAGACGGCAATTGACAATTTGTTGCTTGCCAGTACAAGTTCCTGGAGGGAGAAGCTGAACTTATTGGCTGGAAAGCACTCTCTTGTCAGGTCGAACTTTAGCAAATTAGCGGTTGGTCGGGCGAACAGGGTACCTCTCTGAAACCTGAGGCCTTTAGCCTCATGTCATGAATTGCAAAAAATTCGTTACAGGGTATCTTAAGTGCCAGGGTAGGGTGGGATACACACACTAGTTCGGCAGGAACGTACCGTCGCTCCGCGGCAAGCTACATCTTTCTTTGTCTGAGATCGCATAGCTGCTTCCAACTATTTGAAATCGTGCCCATGATCCTCCTAAAATTGTCCTTGTCCCATATCTTTACAGCCTTTTCATTTACAGCTCGGACCGCTCACATGCTGTGGTGGTGCACAGCGCGGGACCTGCCGCCCACCTCATGCCGCCCGGTCTGGTCAATGCCGTATGTCATGGCGGCAGCCACTCGCTACTGTTCGAGGGGAAGGTACGCTAGATTGGGGCCTAGAGACAGACAGCCATTAGTTGCTTGCAAGTTTTCGCCCCAGGCTATGTTTTTTCACGCCAGCCTGCCTTAGCAACACACCCGTTCCCCACCGCCATTCAGAAGCCACTGATCCACACCCAAGCGGCGCCCTTGGAGCCGCTCCCGCATGACTGGTTTGCACTGGATGCCGTTGAGGGCGCGGACAGTTTCCTACTGCTGCCGCTAGAGGGGCCGGAACAGCTATACGGCAGCGTGCTGTTCTGCATAAACGAAGCCGACGACGGAAGCTGTACCGGCATGTGCGGTGATGAAAGGCAAGCAGGGTTTCGGAAGCACATTGTAGTCAATACCGGGATCCGGGAAACTGGATTGGGGCTATGCAGAAATGGTTAGGCGTCCACATTTTAGCTGTATGCACGGCCTGCTGAAATTGGTTTGTTCATTCATGCACAGGCACGCCATACGGACGGCGTACGACCTGGAAGAGCTGGAGTTGCTGTCGCAGTACCTATCTGTGGGCCTTCCCACGAGCGCGACTGACCTAGAAGTTCTGCAAGTGGTACGGCTACAAAAGTGTCTTAGTTATTGTCGTATAACTTCGCTGGTCGCACATGCTCTTGGAAGGCCCATCTGTGCTCGCCCGCGGCGACTGCAAAGTACCTCAGTTTATGAGGAGTATATACCCCGAAAGCTTTCCTTTAATTCAGTAAAATTCAGCCAAGTATTAGGAAATTTTAATCACGCCCCAATTCCCTATGCTATTTCGCTAGATATGGAACACCAAGTGTTTACACCGCGGCCGCATCAAATGACGGAGCATCTGACCGTCCTAGATAAAACTCAGGACTCCATGGTAAAGGTGCGGTTTGCTTCCCTTGGGCGATTCATTTCACTTATCTTAATCGGTTGATTCCATAGCCCAATACTTCCCGAAACCCCTAGCTCTTTGTTATGGTAGTCGAAAGCTGAAACTTGGAAAGTGCTCAGTTTAAGTTAATAACTCACAGAGCAGTTCTTGCATAACGTCCTCTATCAACGTGTTTCCAAACGTCGGTAGCAGGCCTTCCACCTTCTTTGAGCTGAAACACAGCCGATCTCTAGAACTTCGCCAGCCCCAAGGTCGGGGGCAGTGATTGTAGACATTTACCCTAAAGTAGTATCAGTAGTGAAGTAAACGCACGTATGTGTATGGCAAACGCAGGCGTGGAATCTGTTTTTGACTTTCCGCCCTACTGCAAACGCAGAAATGCAAATCTTCTTTCCGCACTTTTGTCATTTTAGGCTCTCTGCAGAAAGCGAGAAAAAACCTATTTTCGCAGGTTTCCGTTTCCGCACGTTTCGGTATCGGCTAGATCCCTGTAAGTTATGAGCTGGGCGTGTACGGTAGTTCGTCCCCAAGGTAGGACCAATGGCAACGTCTTAAATGTATCCGCAGTTAAAGTGTCCCATGGAAATTGGAAGACGCTTGCAGCACAACTTTGTCAGGAGCAAGGACCGGACCAAGAAGCGTTGTCAGAGCAGAAACCTCCTTATTTAGAACAGATGTTTCTAAAGGAGGAGGAACGTAAACGTCGACAAGAAGGAGGAGCAGGAATGGATTTGGACGCAGAAGGGGTTGGGGATGTGCGGGGTGGCGGACCTGAGCGGGACATGTAGGGTTTTAGCTTCGAAGAGAATCCTCCAGCCACTATAGGCCCGCTGGCTCTCGAAGCGTGCGCAGCAGTGCTGTATACGGCTATGACGGCGAGCTTGTCGCTTGTCGTCCCTTGTTGGCGCACGCGTTGCTGCCGCCAGCCACCTGGCAATTGCGTTACGACCGCACGGATATACACAGGCTTGCAGATGGTCATTGCATATAGGCAGGCACGTGGACAGTCCTGTGGTGGTAAAGCGGCGAGGCCGAGCTAACGTCACGGATTGACCGCGCCGGAGTGTTTTACTTCTGTTCTGCACGCAATGGGGAATGAACTGGGGCGATAGGCGTTGCGGTCTTGATGGGCGTTTGATACAATGCTCACTGTCGCGAGCCAATTACCAGTATTCGGGTCTGGAAACGATAGCACGAATTAGGGTTATAAAAAGTGCGCAGGAAGAACCAGCACTTTGGTGGCTCACGCTACTCTTTGGGACCACAAACCATATCACGGAGGGTTTAAGCCCCACCATAAGTGCCTTATGGCACTAGAGGGGGGCTTAAACCCTCTGTGCTACTTACCGGGGAGGTTCGGGTTGGAGGTTATTGACCCCCCTTCGTCTGTACGGAGGAGGTTCAGTATGTAGTTCACCCCGGGGTAGGGGTAAAAGGCTACTGGGGGGGTAAGGGAGGGGGTAACTCGGGCCTGTCCGAAGCATGACGGCGGGTGGGTTGCCTAGCCCGGGAATAGGGTACTCTATTGCTTAACGGGTATGGGAAGTGGTATCCAGGTGTACGTAAGCGTGTCCAAAGAAGCTTGCCTCTATACATAACCATCTCACCTGCGTTCACCCATTCTACACCCATATATGCATGTATACCTGCCTCTTATCATGGCCCTCTCCACATACCCCCGCCTCAAAACGCACATGCACTGTAAGTATCAGTTTCGTCTTGAGATAACATCTTTGACATCGAATTAAAAAGCAAATGGACGAGAAAACACACTAAATGCAGCAAGCCAGCAAGAGGGACTACCATGCGCGGGACTACCCGACCTGGGATTATCAAGTTACTACCCAGCCACCCCGGTAGCTAGGGCACCTAGCTAGCCCGGGGTTAGTCCCGAGTACCCTAGCTAGCTGTCACTGCCGTCAGGCAGGCAGGAGGGGGAGCACAGGCAGGGACGCACACAATGGGGAGTGGAGGGCCCCTGGGGACGCATCGCGCTGGGGGATCCACCAAAAGCTGTAATGCAAAGGCGAGGGCAGTAGGGGGGTATAGGGGGTACTACAGCGGGTCTAGGCGCCAGGATCCAGCTGATCCCACCACGGAAGATAGAGCTGCAGTGCTGAGAGCGTGCAGGGCCCGCGGGTGGGCTAGGAAACCAGCCCGGGTGTGTAAAAGCTAAGGTACGGCGGTTAGAGCGCGGCTCAGTGGCCTAGGCAGGTTACTGGCGGAGATCCCTTACGGGGCCCGCCACGTCATGTGAACTTGGGCTGGTGGTGATGATGTTGTTGTCCTTGTTCGCTGACTGACGTAAAAGCCTGAATGCAGCAGTCGTTGCGTGCCCTTTTCTGCGCGCACAACGCACTTCCCGAAGAGTGGACACACAGATAGGTTGTATATAGCTTTCCATGGCTCATCTATGGCTCCCGTCAGGCTTTCACGCACGCCCCCCGCACTTGCGTGGAACTTGTAACTTGTATCAGTTTCCGATTGCGTGTCGCTTTTGTATCACCCAGCGTCTTCACGGCCGGCAGCGCTGCAGCGGGCTAACCGCTAACCCACATCGCGTGTTCCATAATGCGGCTATAGCAGACGACATAGCGCCATGAGGCCAACAAGTTCAACAGGTTCTGAAGGCTTTCTGGCGGCTTTCGCCGCTTCCCGTAATGCGAATCTGAAGGCCGTTGACCGCGTTCTATCGTCCTGTGCTCCTATGATGCAATGCACGCTTTTGCCCCGCCCCGTTGCTTAATCGCAGTGCTGTACAGACAGCGGTATTCCAACTTGCAAAAGCCCTGGCCTCGCAATCCCTATCGACCTTATGGCCTTCCTCGCCGCCGTACGCAACGACACAAAACCACTGCTCTCAACCATAGCTCTCAGACCGAGCTCCCCCCAACCCCGAAGCCGCCTCGGCTCCCCGGCGCTTCCACCCCACTGGCCGCCCCCGCCACAGCTCCCATTCTACCCATCTGCTGGTTCTCTGTTGCTTCCTGCCCGTGTCGGATGTTCCCTCCCCCCGGCCACGTCTGGTACACTCTTGCCCTGGCAGCAGCTTCACTCGTTCGTGGTTCGTCTTTCCCCCCCCTCTTCCCCCGGTTTTGGACATCGGCAGTCCACCTCCCACTTTCTCGCATATGCTCCCCCCGGCCACCGGTCTCATTCGTTCTGAGTCGTGTTATATCTGAGTCGGATGTTGCCCTGTGTTGCCCTCCCCCCCGTTGCCGCCTTGAGGTTGCCAATGCCGCCACACTCATTCAGCGGTCGTTGACCATCCAGGAGGCGGTGACGAGCCTGGTGGAGGCGCTGCACACGTGCATGAGGTTGCGCACCCGGCTGGACCTGGAGTGTCTGCCTGCGGGTGTGTGGGGGGAAGGGTGGGAGGGTGAGGGTGGGTGGGGGTTGGAAGAGGTCGGACGGTGGCGGGAAATGGGCCGTGCAGGGGGCCCTGTGTAAGAGCGCTGTTGGGACACGGAGTCCCGCCAAGGGAGAGATATGGCGGCGGGGTTGTAAGGTGCGAGTGTATGTGTGTGCGTATGTGTGTGTGTGCGGCGCCGCATGTGTCCCATGCGGCTCACCTCTTCGTTTGTTGCTGCTGCTTGCTCACCCCCATGAACTGGGGATGCTGCTGAAGATGCCGCTGTCCTCCTGTCCACGCCGCTGGCAAGAGATGCTAAGGCTGGTGTGCTGCTTTACAGCAAACCCCAGGATCTGCTGCTCGCCCCCGGCGTCGTCTTGTCGGCTGTGTGTGAGGAGGTCCATCGAGGCCACCACGCATCACGGTCCTCGGGACGTATTGCGGCATTGCATGCTGGGCCCGTACACCCCCGCGCACCTCCTCACGCCCGCGGACACGGCGCTTGTGTCCGTGGTGTTTTACCCCCCAACCATCAACCCTCCTCAATTTCCCTTTCGTCAATCGTCTGCGCTTCTCTTACCCTCAACCCCTCAACCCGCCCAAATCCCCCCCACACACTCCCCCTCATGCACAGTGTCCTTCCGGAGCTTCCCCGTGGCCGCCTTCTTCCGCGCTCAGCCCTCAGCTCAGCAACCAACGAACACGCTGCTGGCGCAGAAGCAGGCGCTCATAATACAGCACCACCAGCACGCCGCCGGCTGCGACGCCGCAGCCGGCGGCAGCCCATCATCACGCATCCTCTCAGGCGCCAAGTGGCTCATGGACGACGCATCGGTGCTGACGGGTCTCGGCTGCGGATCAGGTCCTCTCTTCATGTACGGCGCCGCCGTTCCGCCGGACAGCGATACTGCCGCTGCTGTCGCTGACGTGCAGTTGCAGCAGCAGCAGCAGACGCCGTCTCGCGCCTGGCTGCAAGTGGCTACCTCTGCCGTACACAGCAGCAGCGGCACCGGCAGCGGTGTCCGTGCGCGACTTGCCGCGTGCGGCCAAGCGCTAGCGCAGCGTGAGAGCATGGACGCGGCCACAATTCCAAGTGGCGGTGGCGGCGGTGGCTCACAGTCCTTGCGGGGGCAGGTGTCCATGGCGCTGACGGGGCTGACGGGGCTGCCGGCGGCGGCGGCGCCTGGGGTCCGGGTCCGGGCAACGACCGCGATGCTGCACCAGACCCTTCTCTCGCAGCACATAAACCTGCTCGCAGCCGCTGCAGGCACCGGCAACAGCATCGACGGTCACGTGGGCCCAGGGTCGGCAAGGTCGGGTTTTCGTGCAGGTGCCGCCAACCAGCTACTGCCAACGTCAGTCGAGGCCGCGTCGGCGTTAAATGCGGCTCTGGGGTCCAAGGGGTCGGAGGGTAGCAGGGGGGTGGGCTCCGTTGCGGGCAGCAATCCGAATACATGTGTAGCGGCGGCGGCGGCGGCGGCAGTCACCTCCACCGCCACGGCCTCCCGACAGGCCGCCAACATCGCTGTGGTTCCAAATTGTGCAACCTTCCTCATGGCAGACGAGCGACAGCCGTACAAAGATATACTGCATGTGCAGCGAATGCTGCCGCAAGCCCGCGCGCATAGCTTGGTGCTGGTGGTTACTGGGCCGTTGGAGCGGCCGCAGTCACCGTGCAGCAGCAGCACCGATGCGCAGCAGATGCCCTTAACCGGCGACGGCGTCACCCCACGGAAGTTCAAGCAGCTCGAATCCCAGCACCAGCAGGTGAAGCAGCAGGGCCGCGGCGCTGATGCCCCGTTGTCCCATAGGCCGGCCGCCCTGCAGCAGCCGTATACACTGGGAGAGCCATCAATGGCTCCGGCGGCGGCGGTGGCGGCGGCGGATGCTACGAAGCGCTGTTTGGAACTGTATCGCGGCGGGTCGCTGCATCTCGCGACGTCTGCCGCTGCGAACCGTGCGACGGCGGCGGCAGCAGCAGCAGCAGCATCGGCTGCCTCACTGCCGTTGGTGGATATCATAGCGCTGGACGCAACGGCGCAAAGCAGCAGCGCTGGGCTTGGCGGCGGCGGCGGCAGCGGCGCCCTCGCCACCTCGGGCGGCGCATTGTCGTACCCTATGGCGTGGCTGGCTGTGTACCTTGTATCGTCGGAGAGCATCCCTCGGGTCATTTTGGATCAGGTGGCAGAGGAGGCGCATCAGCTGTTGCAAGTGCGTCTGCGTCTGGGTGCTATGTGTGTGTGTATTGTACGAGGGGGCTGTGTACGTCACCCCGGATCCATATCCGTACAGACCACACTCTCTCCTGGTTTGGGGCTTCCGAGGATGGCCCCCTGCTTGTTTTCCAATTATGCGACGTCTATCGCCCGGGTTGAGGCCGTCGCCGACTACGACTACGACTACGACTACGACATGAACGTGCCTCTTTCAGACAGACTAGTTTCCTCCCGCACGCTGTGTGTGAGAGAGAGGAAAGGAGAGAGAGAAAGCGTAGTGATGTAAACGACTCGCGGTTGCCAGGGGGTTGCTCCGAGACCAAATCCTCTTGTGCCCCAACACCCCCGGCCCGCAGGTGCTCCATCGACCCATGGCCGCTGCCCTTACCGGGCCCTATCTCGTACAGGAGTTCGTACGGTTTGCGATGACCGCACTTGGAAAAGCCTCCGCGGCGGGTAGCGGCATGGGTGGCGTTCCGGCGGCGGCGGCGGCGGGGGCGGCGGCGACGGCGGCCGTCCCCGTCCCCGTCAGCGCCGCCAGCAGCCTGCGGCCTCCGTCGCTTGTTGCGTCGCACTCTCTGTCTCACTTGCATCCCAGTGCCCTTGAAGCCGGCATGCAGACGCACATCAGCACGGATACGGCCGGTGAGCGACTGGCTGACCGACTGGGTGGGTGGGGTGGGTGGGGGGTTGGGGGGGTGGGGGTGGGGGTTCTGCAGGGGCTGTGACCTAGGAAGCAGATCTCTCATCTCTGTCCGGGCCCTCCCCAGGGGCGGGCGAGGTGGCCAAGTGCGAAGTGCACTGCGCGACATGGTAGCAGTTGAAAATCCTGATGATCGGTGACGCAGTTGGGAGACAGGAGCTGAATGATTCGCTCTACTCGGCTACTTGCGGGCGGTTGGGTGTGCGGGCCGGTAGGCCGTCCGGTGGACGGTGTGGGGGAAAGCAAAACCAAGGACAGGCTCAAACCCGCCGAGAACAGCCCCTCAGGAAATGACCTTGCTGGCCGATTGATCTGATCATGCTCGTCCTACGCTGACCCTTGATCCCTTGACCACCCCAGTATGTGCATCCTCAGTATGCTTTATAATTTCTTTTCTCGAATGGAAAACCCGGAATCTTTTCCGGATGCGGTACCCAGTGAAAAGGCCTCCCGTAAGGCCCTTCCCCCGTGATCACGTGATCGGCCACCATTTACTTCTACCGTATGGTTGTCGTACGTTTACCGTACAGATGATGCCACGACCTTGTCAGTCGTTTTCGACGGCGCTGTCAACGCCAACACTGGCACCCTCAGCATGATGATTTCCAGTATGCGGGATGTGCTCAGTACGGTTCAGCTGGATCGCTCGCCTGACTTTAGGTACGGCATACAGTGTCGTACATGCATTTGCCACCGTACATGGCACGTAACATTGAGTCCCTGCCAGAAATGACCGAATGCGCCTCACGGCACAGTGTGCAGCGCGGTCATCTGGTATGTTGGTTTGGTTTCGCGGGCGCGTGAGGGTGCCAGTTCGAAGGATGTGGAACAGTGCTTCGTAATGGGTGGGTGGGTGGGTGGGAAGGAGTTGCGGTAGCGAGCGTTTGTGCGCGTGTCGATGAGGCTGTGGTGGCGGCCCTGGTGGTGGCCACCGAGCGCCTCTCCGTTGTTTCTTGACGTTGTAATTCCGAGACCACCCCACCCCACCCCACCCCACCCCACCCCACCCCACCCCACCCCACCCCACCCCACCCCACCCCACCCCACCCCACCCCACCCCACCCCACCCCACCCCACCCCACCCCACCCCACCCCACCCCACCCCACCCCACCCCACCCCACCCCACCCCACCCCACCCCACCCCACCCCACCCCACCCCACCCCACCCTGCAGACCCGCTGCACTGGAGGACATTTACGCAGTTCGGCTCCTCCGGGTCATCGGTCGCGGGGGGCATGGTGTTTTTTCACGGGCGCGGTTGTACAACACCCCTGTGGCAGTCAAGGTAGGGATGTCTGCGTGTGGGGTGGGGTGGGGGGAGGAGGGAAGCGGGGCGGTGATGGTGTGAGTGTGACAGGAAACACGCTGTCGACTGGCGATGGCGGGGAACGGGGTGCGCCACTGATGGCGCTGTGTGTGTGAAGTATGTGATTTACTTCGGGCTTACCTTTGGCGGCTGGCTGGCACCGAGGTGCATGCATTTTACCGCGGCGTTTGGAGGGGAGGGGGTGGTGGGGGAGGGGGGGTGCTGAAGGGGAGGAGGGCACTGGGGAGATGAGAGGTTGCACGGTATGGTACCGGAGCGGGCAAGACCCACTGGACAAGAGGCTTCAAGCAAAGTACCGAGTTGGTATGTGTTGTATGTATGTATGCATGTTCTCTGCTGGCCGGATTCCTCCCCAGAAACTGAGATGCGCACACCTCCCAGTTGCAGGGAGTTGCGGGGAGTTGCGGGGAGTTGCGGGGAGTTGCGGAGGGGGCCGAAGCAACTCTCATTAGACGCTTCCCTACGTCATGTCGATTGCTATTGGTTAGATTTTACATGATCAATTTTGCAACAAAGGGTTGGGATTGGCTAGGGAGGGAAAGAGGAAGAGCGGTTGAGAAAGCGGTTCTTTTCTGCCAGCAAAAAAATGAATGGACTGCCGTATTGTCGTATGCCGTACAATGCATGTGTGGATGCAGATAATTCCGTCGTCCGACGACGCCGACGTGGCCGGGCCGCCGCACCCCCACCCCTCGGCAGCGGGTGGGGGTGGGGGTGGGGGTGGCGATTCTGGCGGGGGTGGGGGTGGGGGTGGGGGTGGCGCGGACGGCGCGGAGGCGGCTCAGAAGCTCCAACAGCGTCAGAAGCGCTGGCTACTGCGGGACGCGCTGGAGGTCGCCGTGACAACCACCATAAGCCACCCGCATGTCGTACAGGTACGGAGACGGGAGAGCTCCCCAGCAGCCGTAGCAATGAATATATTATTAATAATATATATGTAATTATATTACATCACAATATATTTATATAATAATATATATATAATAATACTTACATTATTATTATTATTATTATTATGATTTATTTCTAGTATTCGTGCTGGCAAGGGGCGCCAGGTGCAAATAAGGCCGCGGATCTCCGTAACCACAGCGGGCTCCTCCTCCTCCTCCACGGCCGCCGCCGCCGCTGGCTCTGTTTAGTTCGAACGACGACCCAGTGGTCGGTGCTGGCTATCGAAGTACTTACCAGTGGTAGCGGAGGGGCTACCCGGGGTGGGGGGCCGGGGAGGGGCTACCCGGGTTACCAGACGCGCGACTCACTGCTGTTTCTCCCTCTCTTTCTTTCTCGCCGCCCCACTGCCTGCGTGCAACAACTATAATGCAACAACTAATTTCCCTTTCTGACTGGGCCGACCCGCGGGTCGCCGTCACCAGGTCCTCAACTTCTTCACAGATGCGCTGGTGGTGGAGTACTCCCACAACCCGGGGCGGTACCGTCTGTTGCCCCGGGAGGATAACCCCACGGGGGCGGCCAAAGGTGGGTTTACATGGGGGCGGCTCAGCGGCCAGGCCGGCCGGGGCGGGTGCAGAGAGGTGTGTGGGTAATATGACTGGTACAGGACGCGGCGGTGAGGCTAGTGGCCCGAGGGGTTTATCTGCGGGTGGCTCATCTCTTACCTCTCTCTATCCCTGTTGCTCTTCAGCAGCGATATGTGCTCCATGGCTCGGTGCCTGTTGACGTTTCCTCTCCCCCGCACCCGCCGCACCCGCCGCTGCCCTCACCGCCCCGCTGCCACCCGGCAACATGACCCGTACGGTGCATATGTACGGCGGTATGCACCTTCAACTGCGGCAGGCGCCTCCAACACCGCTATCGTTATGGGTAAGCCGTAAGAGCTCTGGTCTGTCCTGAAGGGGAGGGAGGGGGAGGGAGGGGAGGGGAGGGGATAAATGACCGGCGACGGTGCTTCCCTGCCTACACACCGCGCCTCTCTACCTATCCCATCTTCCACATCACCTCCATTACCCGGGGTTGTGCTGTGTTGTGCTGTGTTGTGCTGACTTGACCACTGTCCCCAACACCTCCCCCCTCACCCCGTGGCTCGTCATTTTCCCCTCACCCCACCCCAACAACTACCCACCCCACCCCACCCCCCACACACACACCTCGCACTCCCCACACCGCCACCAGAGTACTGTGACGCGGGAACCCTCAAGCAAGCCGTCGACAACGGCTGCTTCAGGCTGCAAAGGAATGGGCAGCAGCAGCAGCTGGATCCTGACGGCGGCGGCGGCAGCGCTGCTGATATGATTAGCGGCGGCGGCGGCGGCCGCTCCATCGCCGCGTCCGCCGCTGCGCTGGCTGCGGCTTCCCTCCCCGCCATCCAGCCCCCCCTTAGCATGGTGGCCTTGCTGACCAGCCTTTTGGAGGTCGCGGCGGGCCTGCGGCACCTGCACGAGAACCGACTTGTACATTGCGACATCAAGCCGTCCAATGTACTGCTCCGTAGCTGTACGGCGGACACACGTGGCTGGGTCTGCAAGCTGAGCGGTGGGTGAGCTTCGTGCGTGCACCACGGCACCTTGCAACCCGCTCGCACCATCTTGCAATCGAAATTACCGTTTGGTCTCGTATTCGCGTCCACTCACGCTTTCACCCGCGTAAACTCCTGACACGCCCCCGCATCCCGCTCTCCGCGCGGCCTCTCAGACTTTGGTTGCGTTCGTTTGATGACGGAGGTGGACCCCGCCACTGGCCGCCCCGCCTTCCTCTCCCTGTCCCCGGTGGGCAGTCTGAGCTACATGGCCCCGGAAAGCATGTTCCGAGGTGTGTGTGTATGTATGTATGTGTATGTGTGTGTTATTAGGAGATGATGTGGGGGGCCGTGGGAGTGTGGGGGGTGCCACAGGATGGGGTGGTCTTCCGGTGGACTCAATTGTCTTCAGCCGCCAACAAGTCCCCAGCTCAGCATTCGCCCCCGCGGGTCCCCTCCTGACCTTCCGTACAACGTGTACGCGATTCCTCCGCCCCACATCACTCACCCCCCCCTTCCTTCCCGCCTTTTTACTCCCGCGGCGGCGCCGCTCTCCGCCCTCCGCACACAGACACGTATCTGGACACGTCCATTGACATCTACAGTTTCGGCATAATGATGTGGGAGTGCGCCATGGGCCAGCTGCCTTACGCGGGGGTTTCGGCGCAGCAGTTGCCCTCCCTGGTGCGGCGCGGTTTGCGGCCCTCCTTCCACCCTGGCGTGCCGCTGGAGTACAGGTGAAGTGGGGGGTAGGGGTGGCGGGGGTGCTGGAATGGGGAGGGGGGGAAGTCTCGTCTGGAGGGGGAACAGCTCATGCACGGGACCGGGCAAAACACATAGTAAGGCACGCACACAGAGGTACGTGCGCAATCTTGGCGTTTGGCCTTCAGGAAGGTTCGAATACGCGTTCGTGTGCGTGTAGTAGCGTGGTAGATGTGTGCCAGCGGGTGTAACAGCCAACCAACTACTTAACTAACTAACCACTAACCGAGACTCACCCCCTGCCCAATTGCCCAATGCAATGGCAATGGCTCCTACCAACCTCCCGGATCCACCGCCTTCCTTTCGAACGGCCCCCTGTCCCCTGCCTGGTTTGCGCCTCACCTCACCTCACCTCACCTCACCTCACCTCACCTCACCTCACCTCACCTCACCTCACCTCACCTCACCTCACCTCACCTCACCTCACCTCACCTCACCTCAACTCACCTCACCTCACCTCACCTCACCTCACCTCACCTCACCTCACCTCACCTCACCTCACCCCACCTCACCTCACCTCACCCCACCTCACCCCACCTCACCCCACCTCACCTCACCCCACCTCACCCCACCTCACCTCACCTCACCTCACCTCACCTCACCTCACCTCACCTCACCTCACCTCACCTCACCTCACCTCACCTCACCTCACCTCACCTCACCTCACCTCACCTCACCTCACCTCACCTCACCTCACCTCACCTCACCTCACCTCACCTCACCTCACCTCACCTCACCTCACCCCTCACCTCACCTCACCTCACCTCACCCCTCCCCTCACAGGCAAATCGCATGTGTCAGCTGGGCCCAGGACCCCCGCCGCAGACCCACCGCTGCAGCTCTGGTGCAACTGCTGCAGCGCCTGCTGGTCCGAACCTTGGAGGAGGTGGACATGCGGGAGGTCATCACCACCGTGCGGCAACAACAGCAACAGCAACAGCAACATGCAAACGGGGATGCAGGTGCAGGGGTGTCGAGTTGGGGTCCGCCGTCCGCCCCGGGGTCCGCTCCAAGCCCCGTCCCCTCCCCAGCTGCACCTGTCGTACCCGCTCTACCGTCTAACCCCGGGGCCGCAACGGGACGACTCAGTCGACTGCAAAACGCCTCATCATTAGTATCCGCTCCGAAACCGCTGCAGCCCTAATGATCAGCTTTCCAAGGACGAGCGGCTGATGGCCCACCGAGGGATCGCCGGCCTCGCCGCCCGCCCTCGCGGCAGGAGGCGCGCCTCTCCGACTGCAGCATTCCGAACTTCGACTCGAGTGAACTGAGCCGCAGTGAGTGAATGACTGCGTGAGTAAAAGTGACTGTACGAGTATATAAACAAATGAGTCATTGAATGTGTGGAGCGAGGAGCCTCAGCCTGACCTCTGTCTGCTGGAGGTCGTTGGAGGTCGTTGGAGGTTCCTAAACTGAAACTGCGAGCTGTGTCTCCTTGTGCCTGCGTGTGAGAGAGAATGTGTGTGTGTGTATTTTGGCGCCACGCAGAGCTTGGCACGCACCGCCGCCTCGCATGACAGTGGGGTGTCACCCACTCACCCACACACCCATCCGGATGAGTGTTAATTCGTTTGATTGATTAATTCGGTTGATTCGCTCCGTCCTGTTGCCCAATGCGCATGGCCGACCGGTCCGCCATCCAGCTCCACACGTGCATGAACAGATGCACGCTTCCTAAAGCTTACCCATCATCACGACCCATGGGTCGGGACCTGTCTTTCCGTGTGCTGTCAAGTGGTGTGGAGTTGTGGGGAAGATGACGCGGGGTGGTGTAGGCTGCGGTGCGCACATGTCGTGAGGAACACATATTGTATTGCTTGAGAAATGCGATGTACGATAGTACGAAGAAAATGAAGGGTACTTAGGGGGCAGTTTGAACTGCTAATCGAAGGGGATGTGTGATGAACAGTGTACGACAGTACATGGAAAACCAGGGTGAGAGCAGTTCTTGAACCGCTGGTTTACTGCGGTGTTTTACGTACAGTACTCGCACCCCCCTGCCCTAGCTGGCAGATATTGTTGCGGACCGTTCGGCTTTATGGCTCCGTTGAAATCCGTTATTAGGGGGCTCCGACCGAGAAACCACATTTGGGCGCACCTTACTGGCCGTCATCGGTGCTGCCTTTAAACTGGTTGTGGGGTGTTGCAACCCTTATTTTACCTTCGTACCACACTTGATGCATTAACCTTGTTAACGGCATATCGTACAAACTCTTGCCGTACGTGGTCCTCATGAGAAGGAGGATTTTGCTGTACTGGTCGGCACGCATTGATGGCAATGGGTATTAATACCGGGGATTTCACAATATGGATTATGGGATATGATTGTATCCGGGGATGGTGTGGGGGTAGGCGGCGACGGAAGAGTGGTGAATGGCCCATGAGGATGGGATGGAGGTGGGATTCGTCTGAGTGCAGAGGGGCTTTTATACCGCCAGCATGCGGGGTGGGGGTAAGTGGGGAAAGCGGCGGCGGAAACTTGTATTTTATTTTTTGGCCGTTCGGCATGCCAGGCCATCTGCAGCACGTTTGGGAATGGCTGCTATTGTTGTTGTTGCTGTTGGTTGTTGGCGGTTGGTGGTTTGTGTGGTGTCGTTGCTAACACTGTGGTGATCGCAGCCCGCACCCTCGGGTCGCAGCAAGCGGGTGCGTGGAAGCGCAGCAGCACTCAGAGCTGGCGAGCGGCTGCGACCTGAGGGTGCCTGGCCACGAACCAGCGCCGAGTGTTGTAGGGGGTGCGGCGGCACACGGCGGTCAAGGGGGGGGGTGAGGGGGGAAAGACGAACCACGAACGAGTGAAGCTGCTGACAGGGAAAGAGAAGAGAACATACATACACACATACATACATACATACACACATACATACATACACACATACATACACACATACATACATACACACATACATACATACATACATACATACATACATACATACATACATACATACATACATACATACACACATACATACACATATACATACTGACGGACGTATGTGCAATTATGTCGCCTCTTCCGGCGATGTGTCGGCCGACGAGGGGCCCCAGAGGTATTTCACACGGACAACGACGTGAGGCATTGCCATACAGCAGAGATGCTGCCCTGCACTGCTATGTACGACATCCAGCCTAGCGAGCTGCTGGTGTTAGGGCCCACCCTAGCGCGTGTGTGTGTGAGTGTTGTGTATGAGCGCATGTAGTAATGCCGTACACATGGCTACATATTTAATTGTGTGTGACCTTTGGTATACGCGTATGCCTGCATGTTCGTTATATGTGTTTGTGTACGTCCGTCTGTTTGCAGTTTCTTTGTCTGTATGTTTGTTGCGGGCGTTGCAGTTGCAGTTTGTTGAAATTAGAGCGGTTGGCGGCACCCCCCCCCTTCCTTGTGGTGGGTCCCTCATGGGTCCCCGTCGTAGTGCACATTGTGCAGCATCAACATAAAAACACATACACCCCTCGTATCGCTTTGTTTGCCCTGAATCGAAATTTCGCGAGTAAGGTGGTGGGGTGTCGCCTCATCGCCGCCCTCTTCGGCATTATCGTCGTCCTAGCACTCATCCCCGTTGCGGAAAAACGCTTTTCCGCTACCCCACCCCAAATCCCATTGATTGATTATCTTAGTGGTGCAGCCTCTTGACCTACTTTTTGATATAAGTAAAATTTGGGTTTGTAAGTTTGGGCACTAGCGAATGCGGGGATCGGTTGACCGGGGGTTCTTGGAACCTACCCGGCACAAACGTGGTTATTAATAAGCGCCGTTTCAGATTCGGCGTTTGGTCCGTTTGCGATTGGAAACGCCACATCATCATTTGGAGCGATGTCCGCGTGTCGAGGTGGGGGTGGCGCGGTCAGTCTTCCTATGGGGCCCTGTGGGTGGCCACTGCCCGGATCGCACAGCGAGGTGCATGGTTAAGGGCCCCATAGAGGCGTATGGGGCTACCTACGCCGAGGGGTGCTGGGCGAGGGGTGCGGTGGTGGGCATCATGGTCACGATAACTGCGGAGGCGAAACACAGTTCGCTCCAGGGTCCTGATGCGTTGATGGGGGCGGGTTTCGGTTTGGGACCCCGTCATACATACCTATCTCTCCGGTGTCATCTCCTTTTACGGTGTGTGTTTTCTCAAAATTGGAGTGCTGGTACTGCACTGCTAGGCGGTGTCGCAGCGGGAACCGAGTAGCAGTCGTCTAGACAAGTGCTTGGTTAGGCAACGGCGTGTCCAAGTCGCGGCCGGGCTTGCACCTTGACCTTTTTGTTTTTTATATTCGAGTTCTTAATGGCATTTAGGTTGTATGTATGTCGGAACTGCACGGCACACCGTGTTTTTTTTTGTACGGCAGGCCTGACTATTTTTACTGTGGTGCAGAACGGGACGTATGCGGAGGAGCAGCTGCTTCGCTGCCCACGAGTTGAGTACGTCAACCGCATCTGGGGGGTGGTACTTGGTGTCGCCCGTGGTGGGGAGTATGCGGTAGGGTGGGATGGGGGTTCCGTTTATGGGGGGGTTGCCCCCCCCGGCCGCTCTCCCAGTATAGCTTCTTTCTGAGTGCCAGTTTTCTCCCCCGCCACCCTGTCACCTCACATCACCTACCGCCACATCACCTACCGCGTGAAATAATGAATGGACGGCGGAGAAAGGTCATCGTAAGTCTCCAGGGGGGATGCTGCGGCCATTTGTTTTCGTTTTTAACATTGAGGTTCTGTCCGTTTGTCTGTTTGTCTGTTTTTCACTCCCTTGGGCGGCTCTGCGGGCAGGGGGCCGGGAAAACCCTGGCCACCCCTGTGGCTGGGAGAACGCCCCGGCTGCTGTGAGCGAGGGAGTGAGGCGCGCGCGGAGGAACAGACTGACCTGGAGCCCCGCGCCTCGCCCCTGCACTGTGTTTGGGTCCCCGGTCCCCGTGCCGCGCCGGCAATCCACGGCGCTAGGCGCCCTTTCTCAGGGCGAGCCGCCCACAGCGTAACAATCCCCCGTCAACAACATCAACAACGAGTGATGACAATGATAACAATGAAAGCGACGACAACGACAGGGGCGGCGTGGCCGACACAAAATAAAAAAACCTGACAGCACTGTTATAATTCCGTAATACGGCATTAGGTTGTAGCATAAGCGCCCATGCTTAAGAATGTGGATGTGTGATCTTCCCAAAGATAGGTGAAATTTTGATTGGCCAAATGACGCCGTACAAGATTTTATGCCGTACATATGGGTGCCGATTGCTCTGCTGAGGGCAAAGAGTTTGCCGCGACCCTGTCGAGCTATTGTTGCAAAGTGGCTGGTTACTTCAATGGCTCTACTTGTAATCGTGATGGTGTTGGTGTTGGTGTTGGTGTTGGTGAAGTCGTGGTGATGGGGAATGGCATCGTGGTGGTGGTGATGGTGCGGCTGCTGCTGCTGCAGCTGCTGCTGGTGATGGCTGGAGGGTAGATGGGAAGGACGGGAGGGGGGCCCAAAGGGCGGATTGGCTTAGTGGAGAGCCGGAGGGAGAACTGCTTGGCGTGATGGTGGTGAAACTGCGGAGGGGGGGAATCCACGGCGCTTTCCCTGCGGGGTGTCACGGCATGTGCGCACAGCGGGTCAGGGTAATGGTCCGGGAAGATGCGTGAACAAGAGACAGCCTCCTGTGAACCGCCCGACTGCAGGCACACTGCGCAAGTTGCTTGTGTTTGTGGACCCGATCCCGAGCTTAGTGGCAAGACAGGTGGAAACGTTCTTCGCACACAGGGATGCTTCGAACTGAAGTCACGCGCAGTTGTGAATGCCCTTATGGAGGAAGGAGAGGCAAGAGCAGGATGCTAGGCTTGCTGGTAGATGGCTGGCAAATGGCTGCGCTGCCTGCGCACCGTGGTACGATGATGTCGTTGGGGGCAGTTAGCAGCAGCACAAAACCTTTGTGGTATAACTCCGACGCAGTGCAGCTTTGCAATGCAAGGCGTTAAGGTGTTTTAGCATTGTGATTAGGGTTTAAATCATCGCCAAGTTCCAAGACATAGTCCGAATCTCGTCGCAAGGGTAATCAGTCGTCGACATCCATTTTATACCGCAACCGCTTTGTAACAAAATTGCTTTTATACCGCAACCGCTTTGTAACAAAATTGTTTTAAGTGGGTGTATAGCCTTCTGCCCAGACTCTATGGAATTCGTGAGTTGCGGCGGCGCATCGACGCTTGTAAGGTGCAGACATACATGCATTAACGTCACTGCTCGCCATTCCAACAATAGACAAGAATGGCGAATCGATGGACCTGCAAGGGATGGTAGAGGTGCGGCATGGAAATGCAAGCTAGGTCAAATTAAACAACCGTCAGTGCTTCCTTGTGTCTAAACTACTATTGCAAATTACACTTCACACAATACATTTATTACATGTGGTACATGTACATCTCCAAGCGCAATGTCTCATCCAGGGCTGGATCCGTACAATTACACAGGTCGCGGCCAAGGCCGTGGAGGGAGAGGCCCAACCCGAGGCCGAGGCAGCCGCCCTCCTGCGCGCCACGTCCCCAACAGATGGCCTGAGGGTGAGCAGCCTGACGACTACGGCCCCAGCAGCCGCTTCGCCAACACAATGGCGCAGCCACGGAGGCCTTACGGCTCGGCAGACCGCCGTACCTCGGCGGCACCGCCGCTACCGCAGCGCCCGCCAGCTGACTCCCAGGACCCCTTTGGCAGCATCCAAGCCTGGATTCAAACACAACATACTGAAGGCATCGTCATTCGTAAGTACATGAACTTGGTTCCACGCCCTTGGTTCCACGCCCTCCCTGCCTGCCTCCATACATACCAACCTACAGCTCATTCCTACCCTTCCGCCGGGCTCCGTGGAACGCGGAGGGCCAACAACCACCTCAACCACCACCTCAACCACCACCTCAACAACAACAACAACAACAACGGCGTACTCATATCTACGCCACTTGCGGAGGCGTTTATAGCTTTGGCTGGCCAGTGCCGGATGACCAGCTACCGTGTTCCAGTACTGAGGCCAATCCCAGGACTTACTTATGGACTAACAGACAGACGGACAGATGCTCACACATGTGAAAAGGGGGCAAGGAATTGCCACCAGGGGATGCTGATTCCGCTCAGTCAGCCTTACGACCGCCAGCCCCCACTGCCATCCGCTTCACGGCTGCTCATGTGCCACGGCTACACGGCAGCCCTGCAGTGCCCACCACCGCTGCCGGCACTGCTTCCCGCCTTACCGCCCTCCCCTCCGCCACACACACTCCGTCGCTGTCGTAGGTCGGGAGACGTGGGAGAAGCTGCTGGGCCGTGTCCGCACAGCGGCGCAAGCGGGTGGGGCGCTGGAGCTGCTGCTGCGCGACGCCAAGGTCCGCGACTCGTCAGGCTGGGACTGGGCGACACACGGCTACGGCCAGACGGCATTCCAGCTGGTGCAGGTATGCATGTATGTATGTATGTATGCACATGTTCAGGGGAGGGCAAGATACCGAGAGGCCTTCCCCTACCTAAGTCTGGAAGTAAGGGGTGGGTGGGTGGTGGGGCAACTGGCGGCATGCGGCTACAGAGCTATAGAGGGGGGTCAGTGGGGGGACCCAAGTGGGCGGTGGAACGGGAAACCAAGGGAAAATATGGTCGGGTGGGGGGTCGGCTTACGGGGGAGACCTGAGAACTCGTCAGCGCTGGAGGAGCCTGGTTGGGGCTCAGAGGGATCATCTTGACGCCGCGGGAGGGCAGGGCAGTGATGTGCGCTGTGCTGCTAGTAGGGGAGCAAGGGAAGGCGGAGAGGAAGCCAAGGAGGTGAGTGGGGAGTGGGTGAGGGAGAGAGGCAGTCAGGGTTGGGCAGCGCCGTCTCCGTCTCACCCTTGTCGAGCTGGTAGTCCCGGGTGCCCTTCCTTCCGGTCTCCTACACTCCCCAGCACGAGTGTTGCGTTGTGTGTGTTACGGTGCATGACGTCCAGACCGGAGTGCCCACCCCGCTACCTGCTACCACGGGTCGGTTGGTGAATACCCTGTGTGCCACCCGGGGGTGATCTGTACAATCCACTGCCTGTGCGCGTGGTTGTACGGCAGGTGGCGGCTGAGGCTGGCGCCCCCGAGGTGGCGGAGCGGCTGTTGGAGCATCGGGAGGTGGGGAGACATGCGAGTGGCTTGTGTATGCGTATATTCGCGGCGCGTAGTATAATCTAGTTCATAGATACATACATACATACATACATGCATACATACATATGGTTTTCGCCCCATATGACCATCACCCAGTCCTCCCACCCTTCCACCTAATACCACGACGCCGACCTGGCCTCACAGTCCAGTCAGCCGGACTGTGCCGTACGCTGCTATAACCTAGGTGCGTTACGTAAGGCCCATCCTCCTATGCCTCCCTGGACTCCTGACACCCGGACGGCCCTGCCAACTCAACGGTACGGCACCAACTCTTCCCCGTATGATATATGCCATCCTCATTGCCCCCGTCTGCCACCAGGATCTCCACCTCACCCTCAACAAGGAGCTGGTGCCCTCCCTGATTCGCAAAGTGGCCGGGGCGACAACCGAAACGGAGTCCGCCAAAGGCAATGGCCGTGGCGACGTCGACGTCGACGCCTGCGTCGAGGTTGTACAGCGGCTGTACGAGCAGGAGGTATCGTTCCGTGGCAGGAACTCTCCCGAGGCAAGTCTGGGCTCTTTCTCCCACACGCACAGGCATATACACTTGTACGCTGTGCAGTGCTGGCCCTAAGACGAATATAGAGGCCACTAGCCCGATAGGGAGGGGAAACCCCGGGGGTCAGGGCTGGGATGAGCCAAGCCACCGCTCCTGCTGGGTGCCCCCGTCCCCCTTCCCCTGCTCCCCTTCCCCCTCCCCCTTCCCCTGCTCCCCTTCCCCCTCACCTCCTCCTCCTCCGCGACCTCTTCTCTGTTCGTCAGGGGCCCCTCTTCCCTCCTCTCTCCCCCCCAGTCACCACACATGCACTCGCAATTCCGCGGGATAAACACATGTGTCCTCCCATCTCTTGTCCCCGGGCCCCCCGGCCCCGAAACCAGGCCGCCTACGAGCTGAGCCGCGTGCTGCGCCGTGCGGGTGACGTGCAAGGGGTCAAATCGCTCCATGCGCAGATGCGGCAGGAGGGCCTGGCCGTGCGGGACCGTCTGTTGGAGGACATTGAGCGCTGGCTGGCAAAGCGGGGCGTGCGAGTGTAAGGGAGGGGGAAAGGAGCGGGCGGTTGTGAGAGCGGCGAGGGCGGCAACAGCCGCAGCCGAGGTGGTAGAGCTGTAGGGCTGTTGGCAGGTTTCATATGTGTACGGACGGTGCTCGTACATGGTCTTAGGGCCAGCGGTACGGAGACGGCGGAATTGTGCACCTGCCGGGTTATTCCGGTCATCCTTGGTGTGGCAGCGCGATCAGCGTCAAGATGAAGGAGCTTTGCCGCGGCGATGGCAGCTGTGCTATTTCTGTAAGTGCAGTGTGTTATTCGGGCCGCAGGAGGAAGCGCCAGCCTTCCCACACGGGGATCGTGCACGCGCGTGGTGGTGCCTGCAGAGCTGCATACGCCGGGCGACACAGCCGAGGATCTTGCCGTTAGTCGCTTTGTACCTTCTCATTAAGGCTCGTTGATTACTTTGATGCAAACACGGCGTTGCCAACGGCTGCCGGCAGAACGTCTTGCCGGAGCATAATTGCAGTCATACCGTTTACGCGGCAAGAGAGCTGTCACGTCTTTCATGTAACCTGCATTGAAATATGAGGACTTGAGAGGCCAGTGCTTTTCAAGGGAGTCCCAAAGGACTCAATGTGAAGAACTCACATCCTCACCTGGAAAGGAGAGTGGCTCTGATACACCCCTCAAACCAGTCAGGCACTGAAAGACTTTTCCAGATATGTTTCTGAAATCATTTAGGGCAAAAGGGATCAGATCGTGTGGTTATCGGAATAGTCAAAAGCCAAGGTAATGGAAGCAGGATGCGGCGATGGCCCCGCAGATTAAGGACCCCTCAGGGCGTCAGTCAGACATACGCCGGCGCCCGGGAGCACCGCACCTCGCAGCCTCCTCCGTGGCAACCTCCTCGAGAATCCCCTCGGGCGGCTCTTTTCCCGTCCGCACCTGCAGCTGCACCGAAGCACCGCGAGCTGGCCCCACATGCCACATGCCTGCCGGGTTCCCTTGAAGTACCGCCGGTACAGATGAAAGTGCGCACAGACCGAGGCCATTTCCATTTGTGGTCTACTGCAAAGGCAAAAATGGCATGTGTGGTGCAGCAAAAAGCGTACGCCGTTTATCGTAAGTTGAGGGCCTAGCTGTTACAACTGGATGGTCTGTTCAGTGCATGGCACACATCGGGGAATGGCCTTAACAAGCGTGTGCACCATCAGCTCCCGCATAGCGCGAGAAGGCAGTGCTGCTCACTTTGTATACCAATCCTTTGAAGGTCATAAAGAACTAAAATGAAAAAGGGTGATCAACCCATCTGAATGCTTCACTCACCATCCCTGCCGGCGGAATGAGGCACGGAGGGACGTTCATCCAGAGCCGCGCGTCCGTGCCAGCGGCACGGCCACTGCGGCCTTACGTTGCGCTCAGGTGGCGAAACTGTGAGTCTTCGTCTGGGTTGAGGAGCTTGTCTGAGTTAAAGAACACAGACAGGTGTATGACCTATAGAACAGATCCTGTTCAAGTACGGTCATACACAGTGTAGCGTGAACCCTTGATATATAGTCCAAGGCGAGCTTGATGGTGGGTACTAAGCTATTACTAGTTTCTTACATTTCACCAGTGCGACGCCGGCTCGAACGCTATTTTCATATGGGATGTGGCTTCACTGCGAGCATGTCTGCAAGACACGGTTATTACGCCCTTTCTCACGGGTTTGGCTCTTGTGTCCATGGATTGCGGTCAGGAGCACCACTGACAGCAGCACCAATGGACTGGTAACCCAGGCTTGGTCGAGGTGAATGCCCGCAGCTGTTTCTTGTGGACATTTATGCTTATGGAAATTCAAGTTCATCTGTCGGGAAGCCTTTTGACATGTGCATATGCACCTTCCCCACCTCCCCGTCCCCAGCCGCTTGCGATGTCGTCCCAGCATTATAATCGGCTTGAATATGACGTTATACATGACCTTATCTCCACGACTTCTCATACAGGAGGGTTTCGGCCGGTCTTCTATGCGCATGTTGCGACATTCCATAGCTTTAAGAACAACGTACTTCGCAAGGACCACCATGCATATCACGTGCATCGTGTTATAGGTTACGATAATGTTTTGGAGGCGAAACCACATTCTCGATAAGTAATCATGCGGTGACGAAGGCGGCGGCGGAGGGAACAATCTGCACGAAACCTTCAGAAACCCTAGCGTAAAGCAACATGCGACAAATGGAAGCAAATACATTTTTCCATTGTCGTTGTTCCCATGAAAACCCTTGAACTGGCGTACGTTGCCAGATTGGGCATTAAACATTTGCCAATGATTCACCAAGAAGGACACGTAAAATTAACAATCCTGCTTACTTCTCTTACTTATCATCATACATCCTTCTGAAAGTACGTTGCAGTCATAGATTTTGCCAAAGACTCGGCGGCAAAGGCGAACTTTACAAATCTTCTTGTGTGGCCTTTACAGCTCTTTATGTGGATTGGTTGCGATCTCTTTCAGGTGCTCTGTACTAGGATCGTACTGTTCCTAGTACGAAGCAAATACAACCGCACTTCACCTTTAGGAAAGCGTCAAATCCGAATTGCATTCCATCCGGCAAGGGTTTGTGTTTGGTGTTTAACAGGGGGTAATATGCGATTTGATCATTAATTTTGGAAAATTTGTGATGATATATTTCATCGTTCTGGAGCAGCTTCATAACTGGTGTGATAAATGAAGGCAAGTAGGCAAGTTCTCTTTGTCTACGGACCGATGCATGTGAAACGGCGTCCTACGCCACATCCTATACAGCCTAATGCAGTTAACATGCTTTGTGAGTGACTGGGCGCACTGGACACGCCTTTCCTTCCCAAGAACCTCTGCGCAAAACTGCGCATACATCCTATGGCCTTACGAGCATGTGTACATGACACAACACACAGTAGTGCACCTTCGGTTTCAGGCATGCAGAGCAACAGCTTGACCAGGCAATCGCTGCAGCCGATCTGTCTTGTGATGCACCGGTACAAGCAGCGGGGTGGTGACGGCATGGGCGTCCTGCGCGGGTTGGGGCGCCGCTTTACACTGCCCTCCTTCGTTAGCAGTGTGTTGTCTTCCCACCAGAATAAAAGGGCCAACCCTCCCCGTACCCCAGAAGACCAGAAAAACACAGTACTGCGATTCAATCAATAAGGGGTTTGGGGCCGGCAGGCCACAGTCAGTGCGCTTCCAGGTGGGCACACACGCCCGCGAACACGGGAACATCAGTGAAACCCACATTCGGGCCAAGGTTAGCAGCGCGGGGATGGAGTGGGTAACGACAGTTACTGCAGCAGGACTGGGGAGCCGGTGGCCTGCACAGCTGCCGGCGACCAGCCCCTCAAGTGTAACCGCCCCCAGGTGATGGGCTAGGTTACGCAAGCCCCACACGCCAGGGAGCCCCCTCAATAGAGGGCCCCCTAGCCAGAGATACCCAACGGCCAGCGTCGGACATCCCCCGCTTCTGCCCCTGGGTATGGCACCCCACCGCACCCCAACCCACCCCGGAAGTGATAAACCCCCCGAACAACAACGACGAGACACAACCCCCACGCAAAGCGCAGTCAGTCTGGGAACATACGAAAACAGGCGCCCACACCAACTGCATATGGCCCGCAGTGCTAAGGCTGCCGGGTCCTTAAACACAATAGGCAAGGGGTGGAGCTGGGCGCTGAGGCCGCGGCTGCTGCAACACAAGGCGGCATACGGAGCCTCTGCCATCGCCCCCTGAGGCGGTCTGCATGACCGCAGTTTTCCAATACTGCGCTATCCTGCCACAACAACAACCACCTGAAGGCACAGAACCGACGCGCCAGCAGTGGCCACAGCAGTGGGTCCCCCAGCGTCCGCCAGCCTTCACCTCAAGATCCAGCTCCAGACAACAGATAATGGCTTCCAGATAATGCGCGTCTCGCCAGCCGCCATCACCACCACCGGTGCAAGCTGCTGCGGCCGTGGTGCCGGTGGTCGCGGGCTGGCGGTAACCGCCGCCTCTCCAGCAGGGATGCAATTGCGAACGAAGTATTTCACACGGTCCGTGCAACCTGATGGTTATTTGGGACAGCAGGGGATTGAAGTGAGGGTGAGGCACGCGATGCTGGACACGGCGACAGAGCTGTCTCGCCTTGCTGTTGTGCACCTATCCCCCAAACGAAGGACCGGAGCGCTGCAGTGGAAGTCCAGGGCACAAACAAGCAAGCAGGACGCCACAACGAGCTGCCTGTAGACCACGAGGCTGCACCCACTTCACCATTACAACCCTCCCGCTTCATCCCTTGATGCAGCACTAGGGATGGAGCGGGAGGGAGGGTTGTAATGGTCAAGGTTGGGAATGGGGAATGGACTCCAGGTTTACTCGGCACAACCACCATGCACACCGTCGTGTCCATTTGGCTTTTCCACGCAATCCCATCACACATACATCCATACATCCACACACACCCGCCCACGAACTGCCCTACTTACCTCCCCGGGCGCCGCCTCGGTAGTTAATCTCGGATCTCTCCGCTGTCCTGGTCAGAGTCGCCTGCACGACCGCCCCGCTCCCGCTCCCGCTCGCGTTCGCGTTCCCGCTCGCGTTCCCTATCCCGATCTCGCTCCCTGTCCTTGTCCTTCTTATGCTTCTTGGACTTGTGGTCCTCGTCCTCGTCACTGCGGTCATGCCTGAGGGTAAGAGCAGAGGTGGATGAGCTTAGTCGAAAGGATGAGGGCACGGAAGCCTCAATGGTTCAAAGAGGGAATTGTCGCCCAAGCCAAAGCAATCGCACCTTTTGGAGCTCCTCTTCTCCTTCCGGGATTTCTTGCTGCTGCGACCGCCGCCGCCCTCGTCATCCTCATCGCTGCGACTGCCACGCCGCCGGCTGCGGCCGCCGCCGCCGCCGCCATCACTGTCATCGTCACCATCGCGTTCGGCCTCCGCCCGGCGGCGCATCTTGGCCACCAACTCATCAAACATGGCGTGGACCTCCTCCAGAGGCAGCTGCGGTGGCGGAAATCAAAAGAAAACGGGAAAAGGGAGTTGGCTGGGAAACCTAGGAAACCTAAGAGTGCCTGAGTAAGGACTGACGAGGAAAGATGGGCGTCGGAAAAACACAACCATGAGGGCGAGTTCCAAGCACTGGAGGGAGGACAAGAGGCGCCGCAAACTATCCACAGGAAATCAGAGTTATCAGCATCAGTAGGACCATGAATTAGAATGATCTACAGGTTCGCAGCAGCAGAGCCCACGCGCAGGATCCGGAGCGGCACCGATACCGACTCACCGCTTTGACCTCGGGTTCGCGCTCGTGCTCCCGCAGCCAGTCCTCCCACGCACTGTCCTCCCGCACAGCTGGCCGGCAGTGCCGCATGTAGGAAGATAACTTGTCACGAGCACGACGGCGACGCTCGGCTTCCTCCGCCTCCCGAACCTTCGCCTTGGCCACCGTCTCCTCGTAGTAGGTGCGCCTGAAAGTGGGGATGGCAGATCGGGGTTAAGCAAGCAAGCAGATGCGGCTGACAATGATGGTGTGGTTGTGGGAATCTAAATGAGCAAAAGATAAGTGGGCCCAGGTGAGGGAGGCTGGGGAGCGCGTCGAGATGGGGGACAGGGAGAGGAGGTCCTGTGGCTGGGCGACGTGTTGATACCCGGGGCAAAGGTAGCAGGAAGGGGGGTGCTTTTACAGGAATACCGTACACCGTGGAGGCTCAGCGGCGCAGGTGCTCTTGGTAATCTTTCCTCGCGTCCATTGAATGCCACGGCAGGCAAAGCACCGCATCCACATCACTCACTTGTAGGTGGGAAGTAGCGCCGCCAGTTTGCCCGTTGTGTCCGCGTCAGGCGACCCCGCCGCTGCCGCCGCCAGCGCATCTTCAAATTGCTCGTACGATGTGGTAGGCGTAACAGTAAACCCGCCGTCCTTCAGCAACACCTTCAACGTATCCTGTGGGTTAAGCGTGGAGATGCGAAATGCCCTGTGACATGCATGAACGTCCGGACCGGTAAACTGCAGTTTGACTCTACACGAGTAGGCATACCCTAGCCGCCCGAGGTCCGGTCTCCAATCCCCGGAAAGATGCACGGCTCACCTCCACCACGCACCCTGGCCCGCAGTGCCGCACTGCCAGAGGAGTGTGGTGGCTGCCCTCCATTCCGGAACAACCTGTTTCATCTCACCCCGTGGTCATGCCACTACTCACCTTGGCCTTCTCGTACTCCTGCTCCATCTCCTCGATAAGATCCTCAAACAGCTCCTGATGAGGGAGGAGAAGCCGCACATGTGCGGGTGCTCAGTATACGGTATGAGTTTATACGCATGGCAGGCTGCGAATAATGTATGCGGCAAGCCGTGATGATAACGGCAGCAACAGTACCTTACAACAACTACCACCTAACCGCCTAAGAGGCAACCGCTCTGCTGCACGTGCTCTCGCAGGAGATCGTACAGCAGGCCCCGTATCTCACCTTGGGCCTGCTTCCCGACGTATTTGCCTCCACTGCCCGGTAGGCCTCCTCCGAAACCACTTGCTCCGAGTACTCCTTCCAACGGCTGCGCACACTGATGAGCCCTTCATCCCTACACACAAACATGCCACGCAAGGGTTCCGGGGCGCAGCGACCCGTATTACACTGCCCGGCAACCTTCAATACGCAAATCGCGGCGAAACCTTTCCCAAACAAAGTAAGTAGCAGCAACTCGCGGAAGTAATCTCGCCAGCCGCACAGCTCCACTAATGGGAAGTAACCTTAAAACCCGCCGGTTAGTAAACAACAAAAGGACACGTATGTCGCACAGCAACAGAGAACAGAACCACGCGCCACAGCAGGCGGTCCCGTTGGCACCTGAATGCTGGCCCCACAGCACGTCTGCGGCCGGCCGTAGCCATCGCGCTACCACCCGAGTCAGGTAGCCCGCCCGCCCGGCACCCACCTATGCCTCCGCAAGAGGTCCTTGAACGCGTCGCGCGCACGGCGCTCCTGCCGTTTGCGCTCCTCCTTCTCGCGCTCCTTCTCCTCCTTCTCCCGCCGCTCCAGGTCCTTGACAAATTCCTGCGATCGTAGCAGGACAGTGGCAGGACATGGGCGTGTGAGCTATGGTGAGGTAAGCAAGGGGGGACCAGGATCCAACCCACACACACCCTGCCAGCCCTGAATCCAGAAGCGGCCATGTCCTTCGTTCCCTCGTCCCCCTGCCTTTCCCGCCTACGCATCTCACCGAAAGACCTCCACGTTCTGGTTTCTGCATACAGGCAATTCCGCAGTATTGCCGACCCATCCATGCTTTCCTATTCCCTGCTCCCTACTGTTACCCCGGCCCACCTGGAACACCTCGAGTCGCTCCACCTTGTCAAGCGCCTCGTATTCCTCTTCGCCCTCTAGGCGCTTGGACACCTGCACCGCATACATAGGTGGCTCATCATGATACATCCCATGCTCAGCTCCTTACATTCTGAGATAGGAAACAACAACACCCTTTTAGAGTGACAGTGGGTTGGCACCGCGGAGAGCCACGTGGGTGTGGGCTTAGCAGCGCTATACCAGTGCACGTTCCCTGCCTTCCCCCAGTCGCGGCTGCGCCAGGGCCACACGAGAAGCGGCAGCAGTGGCAGCGCTGATGTCTAGGACGTCCCAGAGGACACACACTTTCACACCGCAGGGCCGCTAAGACAAATGATATGCCGCCCCACACCAGAAGGTGCCCCGGAGCGTTCCATTTCCTTTCCTAGCTGCTAGAACTCCGGACCCTCCCTCTGGCCCTGTCGGTAATCACGCATTATTTCCCGGACCACCAACCGCGCCGCAGCTCACCTTGCGCCACTCAGCCCCCGGTTTTAAACCCGAGCTCTCCAGCAGCTCGCGAAAGGCGTTACAGCGCCGTTTGCGCTCCTGGGGGGGTGAGGGTCAAGGGATCCAATGCGGATATGGTACACGTACATGCACGTGCAGGGATGCTAGGTTGCGGACAGAGGCACTACAGATACGAGCGATCAAGGATATGCATTACGCAGGGGGGATCTAAGCTGGGAGATGAGAGGGCACGGGCGTGCATGTGTGACAGCGTGTACGAGGCACGCAGCTATGCATGGCATACGCACGTGTCCTCTGACGCAACGACCCCCTCCCTTTCCCGTGCTCAAGACCAAGCCAACTCGTAGCAGCCAAGCTGGTGCGAATGTTCCGAACGCACAAGAACCAAACCACTCCACTCCTGGTCCGGCCGTCTTAATCCTCACAACCTCCTTTCCGTGCACATCTGACCATCCATACTACAGATTTGCCCCACCTGCCGCCGCTCCTCCTTCTCTCGCTTGTCCCGCTCGCGCTGTGCGTCGTGAAAGAGCTCTTCTCGCTCCCGCTCCGGAACCGCCTTCCAGCGAGGGTCGTCCTCAAACAGCTCCTTGGCTCGCCGGAAGGGGTGGGTCACCTGAACAGGCCAACAACACAGAGGAGCATATCATTAAATACGGGGCACCTCCCTCTAGCCCCTCAATCACAGCGGACTCTTCTCACCTCGCTATCAAGTACGCGGTGAAAAGACCCTTCCCACAGGGCGTGCAGGCTGTGAAGTGCCCTGCCAAACCTTCCCACTCACCCTTTTGCACCTCACTGAGGCCCTCATGCACCTCCCCGCACACACCTCCCGTGGACCTGGGAAACCCCTATCACCCCGCCAGTGCACTGACCCCACCCTGCGCTCTTTGGCCCATCCTGATAGCTGCCCACAGCAGCCAACACTTTCCCCCCACACTTTTCCCCCCTTGAAAAACAACCCTCTCTGTGGCTTTAGCACCGAGGATAAGGAATGTAGGACAAGCTTTCCTTCCCTTCACTCTAGGGGTTCAGTCCCATGTCATGATGCGATATACATCCTCTCCAAGTTCTCCAAAACTGAATCAGCCATAATCCAGGCCTGCAGCGCTGAGTGTACCGACCCCCGTGACCAGTACGACATCTATACCGGTATGAGCCGCACCTTGAGTTCTTCAGAGGAGGCCAACATAGCCAGGAAATCCTCACGCGCCTGCCGCTGCCGCCGCCGCTCCTCCTCTTTCTCCTCGTTCCGCCGCGCTTGCACGTACTCGTTGAACGTCTGCTTGCGCTCGCCCAGCGTCTTGAGCGCCGAGTAGCTGCATTCCGGGATGCAGGTCATGTCAGGTAAACATGGTGAAGCCTCAGCCAGCCGCGTTCAAGCAGCTATACGAGTTCAAGACGGAGGCAGGAACCAAAGAGCGGTGGCCAGGACAGAACCGAGGGAAGCAACCTGCATTTGGATGCGCTGTCCCCGAGGCCGCCAGCGGTGACATAGCCTCCTGCAACCTCCACCCCTACCACTCCCATGGGCTCTCCTCCTGCCCTCTGGCAACGCTGCCTGCCTGCCTGCCTGCCTGCTTCCTGTTCTTTCCACTTCACGGTCCTCTCACTCAAAAGCATCAGACTTTTCCACGTGCGCCCCGTTGCTCACTGGTGCTCATTCACATATGTTCCACTCGCATTGGACGGCTCGTAACCGTCCCCCACACCGCCTCCCACTGCTCTACCGACCGGTTCGGCACTCCCGTCTGAGTTCGTCAACCCTTAAAAATAATTTGCATCTGCCAACCGCGTAGCCCCCGGCTCCAACTTTGCCATCCCTCAGCCTAGACCAGTGATTGCCCATCCTCCCCCCTCTTCCCCCCCCCCCCCACACACACATAAAAGGACTCCTCCCATGCCGCACCGCACCGCTCCTTCCGTTCCTCTCCCCTCACCGCCAGCCCTCACCGTGGATCGTTCACAGTCAGCCTCATGGCCTGCTCCCAGGTCCAGTCGCTGCGACATCCCACACTTGCCAGCAGCTCCTTGAATGCGTCCTTAGCCTCCTCCTGGGGGTGCCCCCGGCAGGAAAGGGAATCAAATGATGGGGGCGTGAAGATGGGACAAGCCCCTGTGACCACCGGGACGCCTCAGCAGCATGTGCGAGATGGGACGCTGCACAAAAGTCAAAACAAAAAAATAACGGGAAAATGTAATGTGGAGGAAGTAGCAACGGCCAAGCGATCCAAAGCAGCGTCTTGCAAAGCAAGGCAACCTCATCATGCTATACATTGTGCTTGTTGAGTAGCCCGCCAGCGACGCCATCCGAACCTTGGTGGCGAAGGTGTAGCTTTTCGGGTCTGCCGAAGCAGCCGATTGCGAGGGCCCCTCCGTAGCCGAAGGGGAGGCCAGGCTGCTGGCAGCGCCACCGCCCGTCCCCGCCGCCGCAGGCGTCGCTGCTGCAGCTTCGCCGCCTCGGGAAGCGGCGCCGTCGGCCGCCGCCAGCGATACAACTTGCACGGCAGCCGGCTTTGCGGCTGCAGCGCCACCAGCCGCCGGCGCCGGCGCGCTAGCGATGGCTCCACCGGTGCCAGCAGCTGCTCCACCGCCGCCACCCGCCAGCGCTGCCTTGAGTTCATCCGGCATGGTCCATTTGCTCTCCTTGGTTACCCTGTTGTGGTAATACTTGCGGCCATCAGGGGCGGTGTACTCCTTCCAGCCACTAGCCTCCGCCTTCTCCTGCCACAAATAACACAGGACACAACCGGATACATTCAAAAATTGCATAAGCATACACCGCGAAGTTGTTCGGTCGTAACCTGCTCATCTGTCGTGATGTTCAAGAGTCGTGCCAGTGAGCCCCCGAACTCATGAAACGCATGCCGACCAGATGATCGCCGGCCGTCCAGCCCTAAGCATCATGCCCCACTGTTTCCCAGCAACGGTGACTGAAGGCACCCTGGAGAGGATAAGGGCAAGTGCAGCACAAGGGAGTCCAACCCCATCCGGGCGCCCTTACCTGCGGTGTCATGAACTCCTCTGGTTTGTCCCAACTGGACTGCTTCGTCTTCGCGTTGTAATAGTACTTGCGTCCGTCAGGCGCCGTGTGCTCCGTCCACTCCTTGGGAGGACCGGAAGAAGCAGCGGCCGCGGCCCCTTGCGCCGCGGTCGCCGCCGCGCTAGCGGCTGCCGCCTGCTGCGCCGCCGCCGAATGCTGCTGCTGGGCTTGCTGCTGCCCTTGTGCTTGCTGCCCTGGAGCCGCTGCCTGTGGTGGTGGTTGCTGCTGTGGGGCCTGCTGTTGCGGGGCCGGGTGGCCCGGCGGGGCGCCAGGGAGGGGCTGCATGCCCCCAGCCATGGGCGGTGGCCCCATCGGCATACCGGGCATTCCAGGAGGCGGCATCCCCGGGGGCGGCATGCCGGGTGGGAATCCTGTGCGGATTGAGAGGTGTCACGGTTGTGGGGCGGGTTTGGAGAGAGGCACAAGACTTGCTAAAATTGCTTTGCTGAGGGATACTACCGCACGGGGGGCATGAGGTGGGTTTTCTTGTGCAAGCAACGCTGGTTTGGCAGGCGATGAGACGAAGCACACGCGCCAATGTGTGAAGGGAGATGATTAGAATTCCAACCCCTAAGGCGTTGAATTGGAATGCGAAATTGCCTTTGACAGGGCTTTAGGAATGGTTACAAGCACATGACCACAAGGGCATGCCGCTCCCAACCCTCCCGCATCATAGTCTCAAGTTTCCCTCCCCTCGGAAGTGCTCCGCAGTCCCCTACATCGCTTTACCTGGCATGGGCCGAGGGGGATACCCAGGCGGCGGCATGCCTGGGTGCCAGCCGGCAGGTGGGGGCATCCCCATGGGCGGCGGGCCACCTGAAATGGGGATGTCACAAGGGGAGGGCCGACCGGACAAGGCGGAATGGAGTGAGACAAAAAAGGCAACCTTAAATTGCCCGCTCGCACTTCGCCAGATGCCCTGGTATCTACCCCGCTCAACAAGCCCAAGCCCCTCACCTGGCTGCATACCGTACGGTGGCGGCATCATGCCCGGCCCCGGAGGCATATGGGCACCCGGCGGGGGATAAGGCATACCCGGCGGCGGCGGCCCCATTCCGGGAAAGGGCCCCGGCGGCGGCCGCGGGCCCATCATCCCTGGCGGCGGCGCTCCGTGCTGTGGTGCGCCATGGGTTGGAGCGCCGTGTGGAAGTCCGCCGTGCGGCGGCGCGCCGTGTGGCGGCGGCCCCATCATACCCGGCGGTGGCCCGCCAGGAGGCGGCAAGCCACCCGGTGGCGGCATCCCACCAACCCCAGGTTGCTGGCCCAGCGCCGGCGGCTGTCCTGTCTGCGGAGTAGACACAGGTGACGGTGCGCCCGACCCGGTAGGCGGCTGTTGTCCTGGCGGTGGATGCCCTGCCGGCGCAGAGCCTGCTCCCGGTGGTGGCCCAGCCCCCGGGGGCGCAGTCCCCGGAGTTCCCGGCCCTTGCGGCGCGAGGTGATGCGGCCCACCCCCAGCGCCTCCTGGAGTGTTCCCGGGTGCCGGCCCCTGAGGTCGTCCAAAGGGCCAGACAAGCGGCGAAATGGGGCCGACATGGCACGGGGACACATGGTAAGTATGCAGGGCGTACCTTGCAGGGCGTCGTTTCCTTTCTAATAGTCAATCTGCCGTCATGAAGTCCCTCCCCGTTTCAGCAGGCAGGCATGGCAGGGGAGCCTATGGCAAAGCAGCGCGAACCTCTAGGCTGGAAGCGGTTGACGGAAAAGACAGTGAAGTGTACCTCAGCAAAAGCCTCGCCGCATGGCAGCGGTGGGTGGCGGGGTCAGTGGAGCCCCGAGGCAGTGGGGCTGTACACAGAAGGGGATGGTGCCATACGCATGGGAAGCAGGCGTGCGGAGGGCATGCGCACCTGGTGCGGTAGGGAGCTTGGGGGCCCACCGAAGAGCGGGACGCCAGGCGCGGAAGGTCCGGGCTGTTTGGGGAATGAGCAGGTAAGGGGCAGCAGTGGGCCGGGGAGAGGGCGCGCTGGTTGGTGGCACGTAGGTGAGGGTTGACGAAGGCCAGCTGCACACACAAGGTCACTTTTGATGCAGCATATAAAGGATATGTTCGGGGACAAGGCGTGGAGCCTAAACGACCAGCAACAGGGAACAGGAGCTCAAGATCACATCAAAGTGCATCGACCGGTTCAGACGGACATTAACCCGCACACGGGGGTTTGAAGCAGGTCAAGTGCGGCTGTAGTGGAAGTTCGCGGGTTGACGCCTGCGGGGCCCCATAGCACGCACAGTCGCTAAGCGCTTAGCGGCACTTACTGAAGGTGCTGGAACAGGTGAAGTTGAAAGTGCGCCAGGTGCCGGCGCTGCTCCACCGCCTGTGACAAGTATCTTTCGCGGTTAGATGGCTTTCCATTACGGCTGCCCCTTCACAACTAAACAGCTGTTCCCAGACAACGTAGCTTCGACTCGTTGAGAACCTATTACAAGGCTGTTCATGATGTCCAATAAAGGCTCAAGCTGAACGAGCTGCCCTTGCCGTGGCTAGCATACGCACAACGTAATCACAAGCTGACAAAGATGCATAGGCTTCTTCTACGAAAAGTCCCTTGTGACCACAATCAAGCTCGCTCTGCCAAGCTAGCCCTGGGTCCGCCCACACTCACTAGTCATCCATGCTGGCAATGTGGCGGCTCTCCCGCGTCCTGCCATGTTTTAGGTGTTGTCAACAAGGCTCAACACGCCGCCAGCGGCGGGGCGTCGGCCACTGCCTCCCAAACCAACACGATCGATCTTAGGTGCGGTCTTAGGTGCAAGCAAGTCACTCAAAGTTACAATAGACTTATGTTCTATATAGTTATATGGGCAAAAGTGAGTAAACTATACTGTAGCGTTCACGTTTTCCGTTAGCAAAAGTTTTTAATCGGACCCGGTTCCACCGGCCATACTTTTTGTGGTACTGATGCTGAGAGTGAACACAGTTAGATTAAATGTATTTGCACATTCATATCTTCTGGTCGTAAAAGCCGTAACTCAGGAAATGGCACGCCGTTGCCCGTTGTCCTGTTCCTGCCGAAAACCGCTTCAAGCATGAAAGCCGTCTGTAGAGGCCTGCCGATAGTTCTAATTAGCATAGAGCAAATAACACAGGGAAGACCCTTACATTTGGCAAATCCCATGTTTCTCTTGTATGCCTAAAAGCTGGCCCGTGGGTCAGCGCGGGTCGTCCATTTGTCATAGTAAACAACATTACATAGCTAGCTAGCTTATGCATAACCGCTCATTTGGCGGACACATCCAACTAGGTGCCAAAACTGGCAAAAGTGCCCATCGCACACCGCTTATCCTGGCTATTGCCAACCAAATGATGCAGTTCTGAGTTCGTTCAGCGCCGGAAATTTGCGTCCGGCGTTGGAAGTTTACATCATTACTCCCCCTTCCCGTCTCCCCATCCTCTCATCGCTTGCCACCCTTGCCGGCCTTCATCGCCTGGCGCCGCTGCTTGCCTGGCCGCTGGGACTTCCCGGCTTTGCGGCCCTTCTTGCCCCCATCGGCGCCGCCAGCACCGCCGCCTCCCGCCCCAAATTTCTTCTGCACACCACCCTTTCGCGGCCCGAAGTGGTCCTTGAAGCGCCCCGGCTTGTAGTCGTCCATATTGGCAGCCGAATAGGCGTCGTTTTGCTTCTTAAGAGCCTTGCGCCCACCAAAGCCTGTGTCATAAGGACGACGCCCCGCGTTCGGAGCGGCAGCCAGAAGCGGACAAAACAAGTAATTAGCTTGCCAGAACAACACATGACCGCTTCGCGACCGACACGGCACACTACATACACAACTTCAGAGCTACAGCGCACTGCCAAGAAAGTAACCTATGATTTGCACTCGACGGCGCATTTCAGCACTCGTCGCCGCGATCTCAGCGGCTCCCCCCTGTGGTCGTGACACGCTGCCGGCAAAACCACTCCTTCCTTCAACCAACTTACCGAACTTGGAATTCTTCATTTGCCGCTTCTTGTTTGGCGTCTTGATGTCTGCACGGGATAATAACGAATAGGCACAAGAACACCGTTTGGATCTCGAACGCGCTTAAAAGTCGAACGCGCGTCCTACAAGCTGCCTGCCAGCTGCATCCCGGAGCCCAACCTGGAGCTTCCAAACTGCGGTTCCCAAAGCAGCGCATCATTCAGCCTCCGCCTATCAGGCCGCCGTGACAACCCTGCCCCTCTACCACTATTGGCCCTGGACCTTGCCGCGAACTCTCTGTACCACGACCCACCCTAGGGCTCCTACGCGTACCAATTACCCCCCATACACTCTGTTACTCCTAGACCCTGACATCCGCCCGCAACCCCCACGACCTCGCGCCATAACAAGCGGCATTGTTGCGCATCACGGGAGACGCAATTTCAAGCTTATCTCGCACGTACCTCTCGGGCCTCGCTGCCCCAGCTGCTTCAGGTTCAGAGGCCTGCGTTGCTCCAGCTCCTCCAGCTGCTCGTCCATATCCAACTCCCCGGCAAAGCCCTGCACGGCGGCGTGCGAGCACATGATAAGCGGTTGAGGGCGTGCCAGCCCAACAATGTAGCTCTATAAATGTGTCAAGTATGCCAGATACCGTGCCTTCCGAAAACGGTATATCGACAGAACAACACAATAACATGCGCTATACGGAAGCACAGCGTTGCGGAAACACAGGGTGTTCAATAGGCATGTGTTGGGTACGATGGTAAATGGTTACGGATAGTGGGAATCCACCAGGGCGCTGACGGCTCCCGGACTCGCAGCCGCGTCCGCCAACGACTGGTGAGCTGCTGCTGCGGCACACAATATGGACTGTTGAGGACTGTTGTCCCTTAGCGGCAGCTGACAGTCAATTTGAATTACGTTCAAACCGGACGGACTAGACAAGTGCCCCGTAACCGCTGACTGGCCCTTGGGGTATTCTGGTTTTTTTATGTTTTTCCTCTGCTGCGACCTTGCGTTGAGAAAGTTCCCAATTTCTGCCCCTTGCTCACCGACTTCTCCCGCTCCTTGCGCAATTTAGATATCTCCGTGATCTGCCGCTTCTTCTCGGCGTTTCGTTCCTTCTGCTTCGCCAGCTGCACCTGCTTGCCGTACATTTTGGCTTCGCGTTGTTTCCGGCGCTCCTCCGCCTGCTCAATTTGGCGCTGCTCAAACATAAGCTGCTCCTTGACTTTGGCCATGTGCTCATCGCTCTTAACCATCTCTGCGTAGTAGTCCAGCGGCCGTAGCCAGGGCACCCCAGCCTCTTCAAACCGTCGAATTGCATGCTGTGCGCTAGACAGGGCTTGGTTATAGAACGCCAGCTCCCGCGCAAGATCGTCTTCAATGTTTCCAATCGTGGTCGGCTGCTCCGAGGTCACTGCTAGCGTCTCGTCCCAGTCCACCTCCGTTGTCCAGCCGATGTCCTCAAGCCTTTCGTGAAGGGCATCTACGTTGTAAATGGCTTGCCGTGTTTGGCCGGGCTGCCCGGGCTGGTTATCGTCGTCGTTGTTGTCGTCGCTGTCGTCCCCAACGTCCTGTGGGTTACGGCAGCCAGCATTCGAAACCCCACCAACTTAGCACTTTGGCCCCTACGTCTATGCTCCGTGTGGATAGACTACTGTGAAACTGGCTTTCAACGCCCGCAATACAGGCAAACTCGACATATCCGATTGGGTTCAAGGCGGCCGGCGGCGGCTCGACAGACCCCACACAATGCAGCTTTGCTACTTTGCTTCCCAGGGCTGATTTAGAACTTGATCATCTTGCAGGATGGTGCCTGCTACGCACCTCGATTAACTCCTCGTCCTCCGACTCTGACTCCGACTCCTCGACCTTTCGCCTTTTGTTTCCCATTGCAAAATTTCAGACCGCAAACACGATTTACCGAATGAGTACGCGATACACTTCTCCTAAGTTACTGTCCCCTAAGATTGCTGACGCAAAAAACAAGTTATCGCTACGAAGTTTTTGCAATAAGAGTTATGGATGTGAAAGTCCAGGCTGGACTCCCCACCAACCATCGCACTAATTATTTTGCACCACACCGAAGTGCGGAGAGGAAATCCCGTACAAATGTTCCAAACGGCCCAACCACCTCAGGCACCTAGTTTGGCCTGTTCCGAAAGCTTTGTGACGGTATATGGCTGTTGATGTAGGGACATCAACCTAGAGTCTCATAAATTAATTGGTGCAAGCTTGGTGCTACTTGGTACTTGCATCTACCAATGGCTGACCTGAAAAGCTGGAGGCTAGACTTTGAAGCTTTGATACCAGACAGAAAGCTACAAGTAGACCCGCCAGGGTATGATTTCTCTATTGCTAAGGACCCGGTGAGGAAATTTGCATTACAACGAAGGCCAAGCTCTTCCTCTTAACTGCGCAACGTGTCACAGATCGGGATGATCAGTTCAAGCAAACCTCGGGACCGGAACACGCTAGCGCGCAAGCAACAGGTAAGCTTTGTGTCTTGAAGGACTGAGCCAAGAGGAAGCACCACGGGCAGGCGTGGGGGTAATGCCATTTCCAGGAAGCTCCCCCCTGCCTGGTGCCCCGACGATTGTGCACCCATGGGGCCGGGCGGCCAGCATGACTTGGAGAACGCGTGACATTGGCGGTTAAGAAGCTGTGAATGCTTGGTCCCGCGCCTCCGCTTTCTGGCAGCCAAGAGCCCTGTGCAGAGGCACGTTTATGGCGTGCCTTTAGTCCCCGGGACTGTCAATTTACCGTACTGTGTGCCCATTTGCAGCGTTGCACTACACCCAGCCGCCTTGCGCCCCGTACTCCAAGCCCGTAGCGAACAGCATCCATGGCATCCTATTTCATTGTTTGGTATAGCCTCTGGGATTGGCAGTGGGGTACCGCTTTGCGCACATTACAGACGTTGCAAGCTTATTAGCACACAGTCCAGCTGACGTCGGCGCCTTGACAAGTTCACCCTTGGCGTGCTTTTGCCGTGGACCTGTCTGCAACTTGGCCCGCCTCCGACAGGCTCTCTTTGCCAAGGCGACGGCACCTCTCAAACAGGTTGGCATGATGTGCTTTATGGCCTGGATGTTCGGCAACTCCATACAGATCTTTAGCATCGTCATGACCTTCAACCTGATCTCCGCTCCCATTTCTGCTATCATGAGCTCCGGAGAAGGTGTGTAACGGTGCAATCGGGCCTTGACCTGTTCATGTGTTGGTGCTAGGCGTCCTTAGCATCCTTCCCACGGAGTAGCGGTGTGCTACGCCTCAGCACGGCTTCTGTAGTGGTTCTGCGTGACTGCTATCCCTGCTGCACATGTGTGTGTGTGTGTTTCGTTCTTACAGCAGGCTACCGTAACCGAGCCGGGGGGCACATAGCCTGCCGCTGTAATAGACAATGTGACAAGACACATCTGACAGCTATTAGACCTGGCGTGCATAGAACCTGGAATACATATTGACATAGAACATCTGTTCCTTTAAAGTGGGGTTGCTCTTTGATTCCTAGAAGCTGGCGGTCGTACGTATACGTTGCAAACACAGAGCAGTTGTTTTGGCTGACCTCCCTCACGGCTTGATGCAAACCTCTCTGTCTGCAGTTTTCCCGAGAGACGAGGAGTGGAAGCAGCTTGACGTGCTGACGCCGCGGCTCCTGTACTGTCTGGTGCACATGGGTCAACTAATTTTTGGGCTTTACAAGCTGAGCGCCATGCGGTTGCTGCCAAGCGCGTCATCGGACTTCATCTCGACGATGCCCGTACCGCCCGTTTTGGAACATGCATACCCTGCGTTGTGATATGATCCGTGTTGTCGGCGTGTTGTGTGTGCAGAGCTGCAGCACGGGTGGTCTTGGGTTAAATCTCCGTGCGGCTATGGCAGCCTATGCTGGCAGGGGGTGTACGGCCATTTAGGGATATTGGCCTTTTAAAGTTGAAGTAACGTGACAGTGACGTCGATTGGGCCGTGCGCACGCGCTTTTGCGTCATAGGATGGGATTTAACTGACACTGTATACTTTAAGTGCTGGCCTGTATGGTCAACGTTACCCAACTTTGGCATGAGCGCACTGGTAACCGAGTGCGAACCGGAACTCATATACGATTCAAACGTTACATGTCTACTTAGCGAACTGGACAAGACGTTGCCCAGTTGTCAGGATGCTTCCAATTTGCACATCCACGTCAGTGAAGAGACAGGTTACCGTTAAACAATATTTACATTTTGCAGCGCCTCCAATGTTTGGAGCAACGGCGGCGGCAGGGCCTCGTGCGCATTACCCCTCGTTACGTAAACGCACCACAATGCACCCTGGCCCACTCGCCTTCAAACGCTGCCGAGCCACAGCACGTCGCCATGTGTCAGTTATGAGGACGCACTGCCATTCATACCAATCAAGTGCATACCGCCAACATATGCCGGCTCTGTCGTCAACAGCTGCCCGTGTCGCCAAAGGCCCGAGATCAAGCCCACCACCACCTAGTCCGTCGACACGTATAGTCATATCGTGAGTCAAGTCAGTTCATGCGGTCTTATATCCTGTCATGGTTTCGAACATACTTCCCTTGGCACGTTTCTAACTCCCACCCACCCGTCAAACCAAACTAGTAAACCGCGCCATTTAAGTCCTGCCCAGCAAACCCATCAAGTCGAAAGTGCTTCGACTGCATGTGCAGCGTCTTCCAAATGGGAAACCCATGGAACCCCCAAACCCACACACGCCATGAGGATTGCACTGAAGTACACAGGAATGTGTCTGCCGGGGCGCAACCATGGTTGGGCTGGCCACCTGCGAGAACACTGGTATCTAACAAGATGCGCTCTCAAGCTGCGCCAGCCAGGCATCCAGTCAAGTTCAACGCACTCCCGCTCTCACGATTTCTGGATCTGCGGTTTTAGGAACAAAGGGCGGGATACTAGATGTTCATAAGAATGTACAGAGGCCTGTACAAAGGCTGTGCCAGGCACAGCCAGGCATGTATTAGTCCTTTGACGCGCTGCAACAGAAGATAGAATCTCTGATGCATGGCCTAAATACGCTTCCAAACCAAGGAATATATTGAAGAACAGAGGTTGCAAGCGCCGTAGAAGCTAAAGAGTGTAGAGGGCCAGGGTACCCTGGTCCATAAGGAGTTCGTGTGTTCCGTATTCAAGATACAGCCCGCGTTCGTCCCATGCGCAAAGCCGGATGATTGGGGCTAGGACTCCCAACCAAAACCCACTCTCCCGATCCCACCATCAAGCCCCTTCACCCTTAACCTGCACACTGGCTCACCGGCAGGAACAGCTTGAACCTGTGTTGGCGGATAGCGCCGCCGGGGACAAGGGGGAGGAAGCACGGGACACACCCCGTCAGTACTTCTCGATATCGCCAGTAACTCATGCAGATTCACTAGCTAGACCACAAAGCAAAAAGACCAGGTACTTACTCTGCCGGGAGCTCCTCTTCTGAGTACAGGCGGTCTGAGAAGTAAATGCGGCGGATGCGACAGTTGGCGTGGACCTGTACTCGGAGCGTCTCGATATAGTTCGTGCCATAGGCACGCCGCGTGAAGTCCTGCATGCGCATTGCCCAGGTCCGCTAGCTGCCGACATGTCCTAGCTATCCAGGGCTGAACGCCGACTTACCGAAAGGTTGAACTGGATCTGGTTCCACCCGCTGTCGAGACGCATAGGCATTGTGCATATGAAGGGCTTCACGCGCGTTGTTGACTGCGAGAAAACATGGGCACACAATTTCACGAAGGGCCGCGGCCAACGTCGGCCAGGAAGTCGCAACGTTCATAACATCTTCTAGCCCTTTAATTTATCTGTGAACATGCAAGGGCGTGTATATTGAGCTCCAGCGGCGCACCTGATAGTTCGAGGCGCGGAAGCGTCTCCGCACGTTCTTGTCGTCCAGCACTTGTACCTCGAAGCTGCGGGAGGAATTAAAGCTTGTAAGTGACAGTCATGGAGCACTGGCAAAAAGCCTGCAGGACGCGGCTTGCCTGAAGTACTTGTTCAGGTTCTTGATAATAAGAACCAGGAAAGGCAGCTTGATACCCAACGTCTTGTTGGGATCTGCTGGGCACGTGATGTACGTTGTTGACACGTTCTGCCCCATAATCTCCAGAACGGAAGACTGGATGTCCGTGTCTGTGATGCGCTTGATGTGACCATTGCTAACTGCAGGTGCAGAAAAAGCGGTCAGAATGCTCCATCATAATATCATCGTTGGATGTCCTTAGACTTAAAGTGGCTATGGGCCGCGCGCCTGGCCGCCTATGCACATGCCGCACCTTGCTTGTCCCATATCTCTAGAGGCTTAGAGCCGATGCTGTAAAGCACAGACAGGAAGCCTGATTGGAAAGCGTTCTTGAACATGATTGGACCCTGGATGCTAACTTAAGGGCCTCGTTGGGCAAATCCTACACAAACATGACGAGTTTGCTAACTGCTTTGGTTGTTTAGATTCGCGTCAAGCACTTAGCATGTAAGAGCAGATACTACTAAGCCAGTATTCTGTAAAGCGAGAGATGGGTTGACTGAGGGATGAAATTTTTCGCCGTACGCCGTACGCTTAGAATCGTAACTTTTTTGGCAACTTCGAAGTCACTGCACTTAGCATTGGCTCTCGCTGGCGCCGCGACAGTTCTTACATGCTTAGGAGAACGGTTCCAGCACCGCATTCCATCAGGAGGCCGCCATTTTAACCATACCGTCTCACGGTGCGCGTTACGACGAAAGCCCGCCGATGACCCACAACCCGTCTGCGCGATCCATATTTCAGCAGAAGAATATGTGCGATGCCACTGCCTTCTTCATGCTCCTGCTTGGGTGCCCGTTAGCTATCGCCACCATAACACGATATGACGGAAGAATTGACGCGTTCTGCCTGTTCATCATTTTCCGCCTCTTCTCCCGGTGCAATCGTGCCATGCGAAACAGAAGCTGCCTGTAAAGCAAGGCATCAGGGGGATCATGTTGTAAGGTGGATCATCCTTTGACGTCTGTCCAAGGTTACCTGCAGTTGCAGAGCGTCCGCGCAGATACCAACGCGCCTTCGGGACACGCGGCTTCACCCGATCCCCTCCCAAAACGCAGCATCCAAAGACCCAGACAAAAGATGTCAACTCTTAAGCCAGAGACGCATCCTATATTCCTCACCGCACCTGCAGATTTAGCCCGAGCTGTTTCGCGATCCGCCGCAGAGCTGGAAGCTCCAACCGCGTTACCACGCTCACCACGATCCCGGCCGCACCCGCTCGCCCTGTCCGCCCGGCCCGGTGAGCGTACGACAGGGCATCAGCCGGCGGCCCAAAGTTAATGACAGCATCGCAGTCCGGTAAATCCAATCCGCGCGCTCCCAAGTCTGTGACTATCAGCGTGCGGAACACGCCACGCCGGAAGGCCTCCATAATGTTGCCGCGTTCCAGCTTGCTGAGCCTGCCATGCAGGATGGTGACCTGGCAGAACCACACGGCACGGATTGCAGACGAGGTGGCGCCGAAGTAGCGGAGATCAAAGCCCAATCCGAAAAGCTTTAATAAACCCGGAACGCGGGCTGGGCAGTCACCAAGGGGAGGGAGTATAGGCCCCGGGAGGGAAAGTGAATTAGTTCCTACGGACGTGTTGACTGCGGGGAGCTGACAGGCAAGCAACTAGACGGGTGCAGTAGGCCGCTTTCTTACAGAGCTTACAAGACGCGGTTCAAGACGATTCATGTCTACGGATAGGCAGATGTGTGTTTGTCAGCAGGGTTTCTGCATCTCCGTGTACGTGGGCACATGAAGAATAGGCAGGCGATATGCAGCTGACGTAACTGCAGCCTATCACATCCATCACCTGCATCCTGACCATGAAGTTACGGACCCAAGGCCCTTGGCCGCTCGTGTCTCGGAAAGGGATATCGCCTTCCCACGGCGCAAAGCATATGTCCCACGGAAGCAATTTACCATGCAATGGTGCGCGCGCGAAACAGAAGGCATTGCTGTCCCACGGCCCAGCGCTTGGCTGCGGACAGCAATAGCCGCAACGACAGCCACATGTCCACACTGCGCGCGCATGCCGCATTCCCTCAGTCCCCGCCACCCCACCTCGAACCCGGACCCACCTCCATGCGGCGCGCCTCCAGGCGGTACTTGGTCACCATGGTCTGGTTCTGCTTGGGCACGAACAGCAGCACACGCTCAGCCCTCAGCGCGTGGATAAGTCGCCGCACCCGGTCCGTGCGGTGTTTGGAGTGGGTGAGGACGTACAAGTGGGCTAGGTGGGGAGGCAGCACGCCCGACAGTGGGCCAGCAGCTGACTGGTCGGCAGACGGCACAGCAGCTGCGACGGCTCCATCACCGCAGCCGCTGCAACTGCTGCCGCTGCGACGATCGGGGATTGCACTGCCATGGGACGCCGCCGCAGCAGCAGCAGCAGTAGCAGCAGGGGGGCCAGCAGCCGGGGCAGCTGTAGAACGAAGACTCCGTCCGAAGCCGACGTTGTCGTCGGTTATAGTTTGAGCTCGTCCTTCGTCCTTCGGCGTTCGGGACGGTTGGTTCGGAGCACTGCAGCTGAGGGCGGGCACGTCCTGACTTGGGCTGCAGGGCTCCCTAATGTCCGGGGTGGAGCTCTGGCTGGGCGGCGCCGACTGGTGGGCACTGCTACCTACATGGCACGGCACGGGTATGCGCAGAAGTGGTTTTTATAGGGGAATGCTTGGCGTTTGCGCGGAGTAAATGGAACCAGAAGACCGAGGGGTGTGCCGGGGAGGGGAACGGCTAATTGAACGAGGACGCAACAGAGACACAGATACAAGCATAATACGTAATGAGAGCACCGGCAGTGCGATGGGCGCTTAGTGCACGACGAATCCTTTCAGATTTGCGGTACGTGCAGCGGAACAGTCCCCCAAGAGCGGCAATAGGCTGCAAGACATCAAGCTGCGACCATGGAACTTAACCGCGTGTTAAAACTCGCGAAACCCGCAGAACAGCAAACGACCACATCGCACCGGCCATATCTTCGCAGGCTGTCTGTAAAAAATCTCGGACCCCTCCTTTCCCTCGGACCCCTGCCTTGGCCTAGCCGAGGATATGTCCCAGACACAAACACAGCCGCACCTACGCTGCTAGGCGGCTAACCTCCTTCCTACATTTTCTGTCAGGGTCCATCTTCCCCTCCGTTTTCCTTCGCACCCATCCACTCCCCCCTCAAGGGGCTGCATACGTCCGTTCCATTCCCCTGTCCTGAGCTCCCCGCGAACGGGGAGGTCCCCCACTCACCAATCTCGATATCGCCTTGCCGTACATTCCCTGGCCATACTGCACGGTCGTCACTGCCACCGCTGCTGCCGTCTGCATCGCGGGAGTTGTTACCACGCATCGTGCCGCTGCCACCATCCGGCTCGCCCGCCGCCACTGGCACCTCCAGCTCCGTCAATGTCGACGGATGCAGCGTCTGAAGCACCGATGGCGGCAGCGCCTCCATGCTCCCAAGGACCACGAATGCAGGGTCGGGGCACCAAGCCGCGTAACGACTTGGATCACGTGCGTCCAATGACGCGCTGACGATGACTGTCTGCCGGCCGCCGCCGCCGCCGCTTAGCGCCGCGGCCTCAGCGGGGTGGCCAAGGCCATTTGGCGGGCTGCTTTCGGCGGGACTGGCGCTGCCGTCGGCGCTTTTACCGCTTGTGCCGGTAGCAGCACAGCTCAGCTTCGTGTGCAGGTGCTGTTGCTGCGCTCTGCGGCCGACATGGGCGCTGATCGTATCTACGTGCTTTCGAAGTTCTTTTTGGTCGTACAGCTGGTCCACCTGCCGAGCACGACCACGTACAAGGAGGATCGAACAAGGCGGCGACACGAACAAACATGCGAACGCAGCCATCAGGCGCGAGCTCCATGACATGAACGACATAATACCTTCGGCCCGGCCCGGTAATGCCTGGTAATACCTGGTAATGCGTGGTAATGCCCGGTATTTAACTATCAAAACCCCCTGAGAGAAACCCGTTTGTTTCCACAAGTATACCTTGTAAGGGGTGACACATATCGCGGGGTGAAGCATACCGCGCATGCAGCTTTTCGCCCCGGTCGAGCCATTCCGCTTCAGCAGGTAGCCACACGCTCCTGTCTTCAGCAGCCAACCCCTAACACATACACACGCAGCCTATCGCTGCAACTAGAGATTCGGACCAGCGCGCATCATTTTCTTCCTCCCTACGCACCTCATCGAGCACGAGCAGCGGGCAGCCCCACACGTGAAGAGACCCGTGGGCCACCATGTCCGCAACGCGCCCCGGCGTGCCCACCACCACCAGCGGCCATAAACCGCCAGCGCCGGCCGCCAGCGCCGCCTCCTGCCGCCTGGGGTTAGCGCCGCCGATCAGTTGCTGCACCAAACGGCGGTTGGCGACCGGTCCGGGGATCAGATCTTGCGCCGCACGCTGGATCTGAATGCACAGCTCCCGAGAGGGCGTTACGATGACCGCCTGCACAGTCGGGGCCCAATCACGTTACGGTGAACCATACGGCGGCTCTACGATAAGGAGAAGACGTACGATGGCCTGAAGAGGGTAAACATAGGATGACGAATGCCAACGAGAACGTCAATATATCTTGGAAAAGGGAGAGGGGTGTAGGCACCCAGTCCTTCCCGTTCAGTAGTTGGGCCAATCTGGCTTTCCGAGCGACCCTGGCGATGCGGGACTCTACGCACCTGAGGCGACCTAGCCAACCGCTTCAGGGCTGCAGCGGTCTTCCGTTGTCTAGCCTTACCGCCGCTACTGACGCCGCTACTGCCATTGCTGAGGGTGGCGGTGGCGTTGATGGCAGTGGTGGCGCCGTCCTTGCCAGTGCCGGCAAACGCGGAAACGAGGGCCTCAGCCGCTCTGCGCCGTTCCAGGCCGAGCTGGATGACGGGCAGCAGGTAGGCCAGCGTCTGTGGGGAGTGGGGGAGCCGGCAGGCGTGGAACTGGCAACCAAGTAGCGGTGGCACCGTTGCGACACGGTTGCGGCGGATGGAGGCTGCGGCGGCGCGCATGTATGTTTCCGGCTCGAGTCTTAACACCTCAGTTCCTTCCTTAGAGCCCCCGACGCCGCCGAGGTGCTTGCAAAGCCGGCACCAGACGTCCGATCCCACCTGCCCGTCGTCTCGTCCCATGCAGCTGCAGCTAACCCCCCCCTCTAATATGACCCGCTTCAGGGTATCGGCAGTACAGCACCGCTGGCTGGGCTCTGGAGGTCTGTGTGTACATAGCCAGGCCGGTCGTGTCCCCCTAACTGACTCAGCTCCACCCAGCCCTACATGATGGCATCCTCTCTGCCCAGCTGCAGCAGCAAACCAACGTTGCACACTGTGGCTCCATCCCGCCATGCATCGCACCTCACCTTGCCAGAGCCCGTGCACGACTTGATGGCCGTGTTGCGACCACTCAGGATGAGGGGCACCGCCGCTGCCTGCACGGGCAACGCCGTCTGTATGCCCTGCGCAGATAGCCGCTCCTACATGCGCGCGGGCGGGAGTGGGTAGGTGGGAACGTGGGGGCTAGGAAACCGAGACGATGGGGAGCATTCAGGCCGAGACGGGTGGGGATGCTCAGTGGTGCGGGTCCGTGCTGCAACAGCTGCTGTGGCAGGAGCGGCAGCAGCAGGAGCGGCAGCAGCTGCGGTGGTGCCTGTCACTCTTTAGTTGATACCTTCACACCTCACCTGCAGCTCAGGTGTTATCCCCAAAGAAATGAAGTCGGTGCTCGTCCTCACGGTGGAGGTGGAGTAGCACCGCTCAGAGCTACGGAGCTGCTGCTGCTGCTGCTGCTGCTGTTGTGGTGGCGGGGAGAAGCCGGGTGGCTGCAGCATGGACCTGAGCCACGATGGCGCGGGCAGTGAAATCAGCTCGGAACCCGAGGGGTTCGATGGGCACCTGAGCTCCTGCTGCTGCTTTTGGTGTTGGGTCTGTAGCAATATCGGGGACCAGGCCGATCGCCAGCGCCAGCCTGCCGCAGACCGTGAGTTCATCTTTGGCGTGGCCATTTGGGATGTAGCCGCAGATGGCAAGGGGTGTAGTACTGCAGGCGGGGAGTCGCATGCTGAGGGAGGTCTACACGTACCGCCGTGCCAGGGGCCAATAAGGAGGCATTCGGGAGAAGTCCAAAGTGAGGTCTGCGGGGTGGGTTGGCTGCTTCCATCGATTCCGTGGGTGCGGAGGTTGCGGTATAATGGGTGTGGGTGTCGTTGTGGATGCGGGGCTGGGGGGCCGTGCTGCGCTGCGTCTGTGCGGAGGTTCAGCGAGAGGATTTGTGGCAAGGAAGCTGTGGGCCCGTTGTTAAGGCCAGAGGAAACCGGGAGGTGCTTGGTACGGCTCCAAGAGCAGGGTAGCAGCTTGCGTAAGAACCCGCCTGCTAGTTTGAGCTGCGCTGCGTTAGGGGCGCGACGCGGCATACGGCAAACCTGCATGAGTTGTGTAGTGACGAATGGAGTATTGCAAATTCATTGGCCGAATTATCATCTGGCAGGCTTTTCCGGTCATGGGATCCAACGCGGTGATGCCAAAAGAATCGTACTGTACCTTGCCATCTTCTGTCTTTTTGTAAGGACGCGATGCGAAATTTGGCAATCCTCACACAATAGTTTTAAGAGTTTCACCTAGATATACTTTTGTTACCAGATGTTGGCGAGCTGCAGGCGACCTGGATTTGCGCTTGTAGAAAGGAATGGAGTTCGTGCTCTGACTCCGCATTTTTTGGAGAGTGTGAATTGAGCCAGTTGAGCCAGCCAAATAACAAGCAGCTGTGCCACGATGAGGGCAGCGGCTCCACCAGGGTCCTACCCACCTGCTCGAGGTTAAAGGCGTACTTTGACAAGACGCTGGCGCTGAGGGGGCTATCAATCGGCTTCTAAGCTTCTAAAATTGTAACATTAGCCCAGGGCTCTCTCGGCGTCGGCTGCGGAATTGCGGCAAACCCTGGACACTGACCCTTGGACTCTCCAGGACTGCATGGATTCGGTTATTACGAACTGGCTGACCCATAGTCCTCGAAGCGTTCCCAATGTGGGCGAGGACCTAAGCTGCGTTGACCAATGGCTAAATCATGGCGTGCCAGGTGCGCCGTTCGTGCTTCGCCCTTGATTCCCTGGAACAGTCCTAAGCGGGGTCAAATTAGGTGCCTGTGTTTCGTTGACACGATGGAGCATGCTTTACAGAGATATGACCCATTAGCGTGGAACCCGTGCCCTTTGCCGCCGCGGACATACAGATTTGGCCCCAGACTTTGGCGAGGATGAAATTGCTCGTTCTGTGGAGGAATTTACTGGCCAAGAATTTTTTAACGACTCGCCGCTGCCTTTCGTAAGTAGAAGCCCGCCAAAGTTTGCGGTTGTTCCCCTCCGGAAGAAGCCTGTTACATTCACGCCACCACTGAGAACATTCCCCTGCTTGCATCGTGCGGAGTCCTTGATATCTTGGCGATTTCCTGTCGAGCGGAACACTTTGTGTATTCGCAGGTTGAACCGGAAACAGAGCACGCGCGCCAGCAGCAACTGTCTGTGTCCAGTCAACCCACCAGCAGCGGGGATGGCCCCAGCAGTAATAGCGGCGCCATGTGTGGCGATAGCTCGAGTCTGGGCATGGGCCAATCGAGCCGCAGCGGAGCGTTTCGGAGCTTCAGCGCAAATGACCTTCAGGTGCTTTTGTTGGGATGGGGACCTAAACGCGTCTATTTATTTATGCTCAGCCAGTATTTGGTGCATCCACTCGCCACGGCAATTTCCCTTCCTCGGCGGTACTAGCTAGCTGTATACGCTGGCCTACACTCCTTAGCCATGGACGTGCATCCATGGTTTTGCCCCATGTGCGTCTATATCCTCGCAGCTGCTCCTGGAGCAGCAGGGCAACATGCCGCCTGTAACTGGGCTCAGCGCGCCACCCCGCCAGTACGCCAACCAGATGGGAACAACGGGCACCAAGGCGCGGGTCCGGCCTGCGCTGGAATCCGTGCCTGAGTGTGCGCCGTCACCGGTGAGTGCGGGCCTGGTCCCTTGCAATGGCAATGCGGCGCTGCCTGCGGCTCCTGCTCGGCTGCTATGCGGGCACCTGTTTTCTTGTCTTGCAGCACCGGCCTCCGCTTCGTCTTCCCACGTGTTCTGTGATACACGTAATTATTGTTTTACGATGGACAGCTTTCCTTCACACCACTTCACTCCATCCTCCTCTTGACATGCATCACCAACTTGTTTTGTCGTCCTTGCGGACATTTGTACGGCAACTTCCCGGTTGCAGTGTGCTCCGCTGCCCATCCCGCCGGCAGCGGACATTCCTCCCCCCAGCTTGATCGGCCCTGACCGGGTTGACAGCGCTGACTCATGGCCCAGCGCTCCAAGCCCCGCTCCTGGGGCATCGCCAGGTAAGGAGGCCGTGCTAGGAAAGGGCGCGGTGCGGACAGCAGGGATCGATTTTGCCGTGCTGGAGTTGGGTGTCAACTGCCTTGCGTGCAGGGGGCTCAGCTGTCCAGTGCTCCGGCAGTGCGGAAGTCCTATTGCGCTTCCCATTGACCAAACTTTGCTCCTCGTGCAGGTGCGAGCTCGGCGCACTTCTTGTCGCGCTCTCCGTCCAAAGCGGACGCCGTTACCGCTGCATATTGTGCGCCGGCGTCCAAGGCACCAGCGATGCAGGTGCCTATCGATGCCGCTCCCTCTCATGTTGATGGCGGAACGGAGCTCGTCAGTGGGGCCTTACGTGGCGGCAATACTGGTGGTGCTGTCGCTGGGGTACTGCGTCACGTTCCGTCTACGGGAACCCTGTCGGTTCTCATGAACAACACACTGAGCTTTATAGAGCGTGAAGGCACGGATGAAAGCACCCAGCAGCAGCAGCAGGCGCATGAGGGCGCTTCAATGGGGGTGGCGGTGGCGAGCGCGGCGCCAGCGTTGCCACCAAGCTGCGCTCTGGGCTCTGTTAGCGCGGTGGCTACAGGGCCTGTAGCCGCTCCAGAGGCGCTGGCCATGGCTGCCATGTTTCCGGTTGGCACACTTCCTGTGTCCCCACAGGGCTTCCTACTACAGGTGGCGCAGCCCGCAGACATGTTTGGCATGGCAGCACACCTCTATCCTTCCGCAACCCCTTTTTCGCCTGCCCCATACCCGTTGGGCTTCGCTATGCCATTGCCACCATCCAACATGTAAGTCTGCAATCATCCACTCGCGCGCAATAGGTCAACATTGTTTATAGTTGATGGCGTCTTGCAAATAATCTTTTGCAAGTTGACGTTCCTTTTTGGAATGGGGTTGGAACTGCTTTGGTATACAAGCGAGAACCTGTTCTTGTGCCCTGTCCTCCACGTGCAGGCTTGCTGGGCCCGTTGTTGACGTTGGTGCCGAGGACGCAGCAGCAGCGGCGGGTGCGAGTGCAACTTGCACGGCAGGGATGCCTGCTGTGTCACCTGGTAGCGCCGGAGCAGCAGTGGCCATCGGAGTCAACGGCTCCAAGCTGCGTAAGAGCCAGAGCGCACTGGAGCTCGGCGCCTGGCGGTCCACCTCCCTGGAGCTCCGCGCGGATGCGGCGGAGGTAGCAGCGACGGGGCAAAAGGTGCGCCGGTTAACACGGACGGAGCCCTGAGTGCATACCGGGCACGGGTAAAGATATGCTGAGAGGAGGGGGGTTTCATGTCGTTCCCCCCAATAACACAACAGCAGACGTCATACGTGTTGCCATGTAATGTAGTCGTGTTACTACACACGAGCCAAGTAGCATACTTGCTGCCTCGCCTCACAAAAACGCATGTTGTGAGGATAGCCTTTTTGTGACCCTGGCTTGGTACTTGCCATGTGGTGTGCCAAACAGCTGATCGGGCGGCTGACGCCAGAGGAGCGCATGCAGCGCATCCTTCGCTACCGCAGCAAGCGCAACAACCGCAACTTCAACCGCGAGATTAAGTACCAATGCCGCAAAACGCTCGCGGACTCACGGCCGCGCGTGGGCGGCCGCTTTGCACGTAACGATGACCCGAACAGTGTAATGCCGCACCAGACAAAGAAGGCGCTGCGCATGAAGCACCAGGGCACCGCTGGATGTGACAGCAAGCAGGGTGTGGACACCCCGACCACCTTCGACATACAGCAGTTGCGGCAGCAGCGGCCACAACTCCGAGCTGCGCAGCCCGCGAGCAGCTCCACCACAACGAGCTCCGTGAGCAGTGACAACCAGATTGCTGTGTGTGGGAACTCCGGCATGGCAGCAAGCTCCGTGGCGCCGCAGGCTACGCTTGCCACTGGCGCGACGGGAGCGATGATGTCCGCCGGCGCTATCCCGCACCCAAACCCGCATGCTAACGTTGCTGCAGCAACTTGCAGCCTGCCGTTCTCGTGCTCAGTTCCTGGGATGCCGTACACCGCACCTGGTCTTGTGCCTGGCAGCCTTGACCTGTTGCCCGTCGGTCTTGGTGCAGCGCAGCTGCATCACCGCCACCACCACGCATTGGTCAACGCTGCTGCACAGGCGGCCGCACAGGGCGTATACGTGCACCTTGGAGTGGCGCCGGGGGCCGCACCTGCAGCAACCCTGCAGGAACCGGCGGGTGCCGGCGGCGGTTTCGGTGGCGCAGCGCCGCAGCTGGCTGCTGCCGCCCCGTCAACGCAGGTGAACGCCGAAAGCGACAGCAAGGCTGCGGGGATGGCCGAGGCCCCGTACATGATGGAGGCGCCACAACGGATGGATTCGCCATCAATCGACGCGCTATGGACGCATTTGGAGCCGGGTCTGGACGCGGTGGCTGGCGCAGCATGCATGGCTGTGGACGGATGATGCGCTACTAACAACAACGGTAGTGCATGAAAGAAACGTATTACACGCGTGCCAGTCTGAGAGGGCCGCGGCACTACCGCAGCATTGTTTCCTGCAGATGCTGCGCCGCGACGGGTGAAAAGGGCGCTTTGAAGGAATATTACACCGGCCGTCGGAGGCATGGGCCTCACCGTTAGCGCACGTGCCCTGGGCAGATGTTGCAGCAAATGAATATGACAGGGCGCTATGGTTGAGGGCAAGGCTCTGTAATGCGCCTGGGCATGAGTTTTATGTCCTTGCGGGTAACTGGCTTTTTTGTGGCGTCCTGATGGCACTGTTTTGGTAAAGCCCTGTCGCATCTCGACATCGTATGGACCGCTTGGCCGGCAGCGTGCGTGACGGCCTTATTATTACTACTATCTCGTAAGATGCTAAGTCGTGAAACGGTACGGAGATGACATCAAACCACGGTAGGTTGCGGTGTAACTTGAAGTATTAAACTTGAAATACGACGTGTTGTGCATAGGCCGTCCCATTCAGGTCTTTGGTAGAGGACTGGATGCGGGTAGGTAGCGCGTTTATATCGTTATGTATGTAAAACGTGTGAGCTGAATGAGTCCTAGAAATAGGCCCGCAGCTGCCTCTGCAGTAGGGGAAAGTGAGGACACGGAGGGGGTTTGTGTCCTGCGATTTTGGAAGTACATCCCGATGCATGCAAGAGAAGATGGAGTGTGAGAGACAGACGCCGAATAGTGTATTGCGTCAAGGCTGGACGGCAAGGCTTTTTTCGCTGTTGCATGCGGCATATCTGATGGTGAAGATTCCACTTAGGGACCGCGGCATTCAATTGTACTGGCGAAGTGTTGAGACCGCGTCTAGAGATATCATCGACGTGCTTCCCCAACTAAATTGCGTTGTGGTATTCTTGTGGTCTTATCTGCAGGTGGCGCAAGGGCTTTTGGGTCATGCTTGTTTGTGCCTGTGTACCCGGTACCGATGTTCTTCCTCCTGTTGTTTGGGCCAGAAGAGGGCGAACAGCTTACCCGGGAATGGCTTGCGGCTGCCCTGCTGTTGGCAGGTCGTTTCTCTTTCCTTACTATGGCGAATGTTCGGGATTGAATTAAGTAATTACCGATTGTGTTTTCCTCCGTGGGTTGGCCTCCGTGCAGCCGGGCCGCCATAATTTTGCCGGCGATAGGAGCTGTACGGCACACTGTCGGCTGGCATTAACGGGTTTTCTGGTACGTGGCAGTAATGGCGCTGCGTTTACCGTGTATCGCCATGGGGTTTTATCGTGGGGCTTGCGGACGCAGCCTTTCACGCATATCCTTTCGCGTATGGCTACCTCTCCTGACGCTTCTGCCCGACATGTCCAATTATTTATACTTATCGCGTTGAAGCGGCTTCCAGCCTTAAGGGAAGGAGAAGCCACAGAAATTGACACTGGATTCCTGCTGCGGATGTGTTTACGCCGGCAGTTACTTGAGCTGTGGTGGATGGCCTAGGGAAAGTCAGGTGATGGGACCTCCCTATTGCGTGGCTGGGCCTGGGGTCATCGCCTTTCACAGTCGATTCCACTGAGCACGGATTTTAGGAATGCCTGGTTGGGATGATGCGCTTCCGTTGTGTTCGCTATTATTACGGGTTGCGGTAATGCTTCAGTTGTGTTGTCGTGTGAGCTCTGCTGGTTAATTCTTTTGTCGCGCTTACTTGTAGTGCGGTTCATTGCAGTGCATTTACATCTGGTATGCTTCTCCTCCAGGCGGCGCCTAGGGAGGGGCAAAAACGTTCCGTAAGGGGCTGAAGAGGTTGGGATAGCTTGCACCTTGTGTTCGCGCAACCTGGACAGCCGTCTGACGTGCATGGTGTGGTTTGATGCTATGGTGGCCCGCGGCCGGTACGGGGCGCGCGCCGCTGTTCGACCAGGTTGGGTAATTGATTGGCTTCGTTGGACTGTTGCCAATGATTATGGCAAAGGGGTTGGTCGTCGTGTCAGGTGTGCTCATCATATTTCATCTGTCCGCTTCCTGAAAAAGAAAGCGCGGATACAGCAGCAGCAACAGCCGCATCAACAGCAAGGACGCTGGATGCGCATTCGCGTGCGGGCCAATTATGGAGAGCGTTTTCCAGTTCCGCTCAGCCCTTACAAAGAGAGTGCGCGGCATTGGGTTTCTCCCGTATTGGCATGCATATGTAAGTGAATGCCATGTTAACCTAGATAGTTGCGGTTGCGCAAGGATGGTGTGTATGGCTTAGCTCGGGGCAAGGGGGATGACATGCTCGTCATGGCGAGACGTTCACGGGCGGGGCATCTTCCGTGCTTCGGTGCTGGATTGTGACATGCAACAACTGTCACATGTAATTTCTTTTTACAACGCTGAACGTTTGGTTGCAGTACGGTATGATGAAATGCGCATGGTGCTTTTTTGCGCGTCGTTTGTTGGAGAATGTATCACTTGGAGAACCCATTCTTGGAATGGTTTGAGGCATGACTTAGGGTACCGTGAGCAAGTACGGAAGAGTTTTGAAACATGGAGTTTTCGTTTGCGGGGACAGTTGAGTGTAGCGCTCTGCATTTTTTTTGTGGTTGTCCTTAAGATAGTCATTTATGCTTGGAGTTCGTTATTGTGCGGTAGATTACGCGAGGGGCGGTGCCAGGTGGATTGCTAGGCGTAAATGGAATCTGGCGTGATTGCATGAGCTAAACGGTAGAAAGACGTAGGAGGAGAGAAGAAAATGTAGATATTAACGTGGTGCTTTTCCATCTTACATCGGGGCACCGGAACGAAACACCGAAAGGAAAATGGACTATCAAATTCTAGCAATATCCATACACAGAACACGACGACAAGTGCCAAGGCATATCCTTTCCACGCAGCAGGCAACGGTAATACAACGATTTATCGTCAAATAGCCTTGCTATGTGCAAGTGACTTTTACCGTAGTACAGCCATTATACATGCGGCACGTACAAGGCAATCCTAATTTGCTTAGTCAACGCAAGGTTCAGGTGCCGTACCTAACCCGGATACACCGCGCGAAACCATGTTGTACCGCATCATTTTCGCCAAAGAACAAACACGCTTATGCATACACCTAGCTAGTCCAGTCCGTTCTGCTCTACTATACTTGAATACAAGAGCTCAACAGGCAAAAGAATACTCTACTGTACCAGCTTGCCATGCGTAAAATAAACACCGTAGAAGAGCTTTCACCACTATTCCTGCCTATAACTCCTGCAAGGTATCTTCTCCATGTTGCACTCCCTCCTCAACCTTCACTCAACAGCACGCCAAGCTCGTAATACCTCCCGTTCCTTGTTCTGGCAATACATATGCCGATCAGGTGATTCTTTGCCATAATCTTCCGCCCTTCGCCCATTCAAAAAAAAACATCTTATCCAACGATTGAAAAACAAGGTTAGGAAAGCAGGACGGGAAAAAAAATCAGAAATCCAGTCACGTCACACAGTGCTGCGCCAATACAAACGCCACGATGTGCGCTACGCTACCAATCTAGCAGCTGTTGCTCACACAGTCCAGCCACGCCTCCTGGGCTCTGCCACTTACAACCCGGAGACTACATCATTTTTAAGGTTGTGGGCTTGCCATCTGGCTCGCAAAACGCTGCACAGCACTCTCCGTGTACGGCAAACTCATGCAAAATAACTCGGACGTTTGGGCACATGAACACGTAACCCTAGGCACAACGTCCACAAGGCACAGGACATATACAGAACCTGACGGGTAGGCCTGAATTAACGAATGGTGTACACGCTGGCGGTGGCGCGCAAGGGGGGTGGGGTGGAGCGGGCCAACCAGCGCGCTTCACCCCACGCCTTTGCGCATTATTCGATGTGCAGAACGGCCGCATCCCACCGCCTCCCCCTGCAGAGTAGCGCCTCTTTTCGCCCTGGCTCAAATGCTCCTCCTACTTCGCGCCCGCCATTCCCAAGTCTGTTGCACTTCCTCAGATAAGGCCCAAAATTGTCCAACGCTTCCGTTGCATCCTGGGGCATCCAGGTCCCCATAGTACATCCCTTTCGCGGGTCCCAGGCCAGGCGCTCCATCCCTAGCCTGTCGGTCCGCAAGGAACGTCTCATAGGCCAATGCGGGGTCCGTCCTCCCGGCGGTTGACGATATCCTGTTGCACGGTTGCGTCCTGGCACGCGCGCATCGTTTTCACGTGCTCCAGCTCGTCGTCTCGGATGTTGCAAAACACGTCGTGCAAGTTCTTGCAAGGGGGCCGCCGCGGGTTCTTCAGCGGCTGCGATGTTTGAAAACTAGTTGGCAAAACCACAAGGGAGGGAGAAAAGAGGACGGTTGCGACGGTTGCGGGGAGCAAGTGGGGGCCACAGCGCGCCGCTGTCATCATGGTCGTGCTCAGGACTGCCGACAAGGACACCGGTTAACTGCAATTCAACGTTCGATAATGAAAGCCGCACCCCCTCTTCTGCCTGCCCTCACTACCATCCTCACCTGTCAAACATGTACAAGTCCTGAGATCGATAGTACATGGCGGCCACCAGTGGGGGCGGCAGGGACTTGAGCAGCTCCTCGTTGGCGTCCACGAACTCCCCTGCACGGAGCGACGCCGCGCAGCGCAAAGCCGTGCAAGGCAGCGTCAGATCACGCGACCGGAGTCCGAAGGCGGCTGAAGACAGAGCTCGTGGCCGGGAAGTGGCAGGCTCGGGGACCTGATTTTGGGCTTTGTTAACTAAACCAGAGGCTTTGTCCGGACTATGGAAGATAATTCCTGCAGGGTCCACAAGGCTAGGCAGACCGGAAAACGAGCACACCGAAGGCCAGATCCTACTGGCAATCGCAGGGTTGTGGCCTTCTCTGTGTTCGTTTTCCGGTCCGCCTTACCTTTGGCCCGACAAGCTGACACATCAGGTTACATCGACATCTGCACATTGGACAGTCAGGTAATGCGGTAACATCCAGGGAGAGCTGCAATAACTTCAAATGTCCCATGGGAAATATGGGTACGAAGTACTACGCGCAGTTGTAACGAACGCACAGCAACAGCCCTCTCCTGGACGGCCTCTACCTCACCGTATGTGTCCACCGCGTGAGCCTCAATCAGCTCTGAAAAGTTGTACGCCAGCTCCGGCGAGAAGACGTACAGTGCCAGCAAAATCCAGTAGTACACCACGGCGGCGTGCAGTGCACAAAAGCGGTCAAACCATAGCTTGTCGCCACCCAAAGACTCCATAATCTGCGAAGAGGCGTATCCGGGTCGAACGAGGTCAGCGCACAGGCACATGGGAAAATGTGCTCATATGCCTCAATGTGCACAAGCAGCGCAACGCCCCTGACGGGGCACACGTGTGCACATCCCCTGTGCACGGAAACCACTCAACGTAACGCCGATGATAAACAACGTTACACGAACCACCGCATATGCAGTGTTGCAGTGTTACGTCGCAGACTGGACAGATTGCACACGAAAATGAAAGCACACTTGTTGACTGACGTACGCACACGCACAAGGACTGACGCCGCCACCTAACCACCCCACCTGCAGGTGGTGCAGCTCGTTCCACTCCTCCGCGAAGTGAATCTTACGGAGCTCCGCACCCGCGCGCCACCAGCCAAACGACTCGTACAGATGCAGAACGGAGATGTATGAGAAGTAAGGCATGCGCGCAACTGTCTCAAGGAACCAGAATCGCTGGATGGGACGATTGTTGAACAACACGTCCAGCAACACACAGAGAGACAGGTAGACGCCCTTAATAAACCTGCGATCAAAAAGTAGCGATTGACAGCACGAATTACTAAAAAATTCATCAACATGATCCACAGCTGCCGCTGCAAACGTGTCGACCTAATGGGGATGGACGGTGGTGATGGATGGCGGATCAGTAGCGACCGGTACATGTATGTGTGTACATCCCAAAGTCCAGGCGCACATGCATCGCGATGCGGAGCTCAAACGGCACATGGGTCCATAGAATTGCTGTTGTCGAGGATACGACACCTGTGCCGTCACAAGAACGCAGCGCGCAAGGTCCGTAATTATGTGCCTCTCCAAGACCCACCAGGGGGTCTCCACCGCTTGGCCGGCACGCTCACGCGCATGCTCGCGGTCCCACACCGCCTGGTTGCTTAGCTTCAACTGCTTGAGCTTGGAACGAATCTGCAGGTGACGGACAGATTGATGCGAGGAATGGATAAATGGTGGGTATCCAGCATCAACCTGCACCTCCCTACAGCTGTTAGATGCCACTCAAGTAAGTAGGTCCTCACCATGCCTAACCATGCCTAGTGGGATACCTGCCAGTGGGTGCGCGTGCGAAGCCATGTTTCACACTGAGCTTACTCGAGTAGCTGCACCCTCCTACAAGCGCCTCCGCATTTCCACACATGCCTTAAGTCCCATCCTAGTAAACTTAGCCCACAAGCACCCCCTAAACCGTGAACCAGCTGGCCATTCAATAGCGCTCCTCACCAGGTCACCCACTACTGCTGATATCTCACCGCCTTGCATTCGTTGATGAGCTTTGTGCCATCGCCATTCACGTCCACGGTGAGTGGGCGGGGATGGAGCTTCTCCAGGACCTGTACACAACAACAGGGACAGCAGATAGAACCCGAACCCCATTGCCTTTCCAGGATTTGAGATCAGGCAATGACAAGGAGGTGCAGACGATCGCATGTCTCCACAAGAGGACCTCGGGGCATGTCGACCATCCCAACGCCAAACCGTCTGGATGCACAACCAACAGCACGTTGTGCGCTGCTGATGCCTGGGCAGCGCAATGTAAAGAGTTCCAGTACCTGGCGTGGTGCTTGCCCTCCTGCTTCTGACACGTGGGATACCTGTAATCCCCATCACAAACCCCGTACATCCCGAACCCCGTGCCAGAGGCAAGGGCAGGTGCTGTATGTGCGATCCATGCACCACGCGTGCACACCCACTGTTGACCCTCATGCCGCCAGGCAAATCCCCACCTGGCCCTTCTCCAGCGCTCGGTCCAGGGCTCCAAAGCCGTCCACCACTGCCTGCCCCAACCCATAGGCCGCCCGACCCAGAACGGTGCGCGGCGGGTTGGCCTCTGCGATGGAGGCGAAGTCATCGAAGCGGAAGGACTGGCGCAAAGCCAGAAGCTCCTCCTGGAAATTTGACCAGGCCTACAATTCGGTGGCGGGTGGCCGGCGCGTGACACGGGCGCATTCAATACCAATTTGGGATGGGAAAAGCATGTGACTCAGACAAGGGCGGTACAGGGCCGGACTGAATCCCCAATTTCGAGAAGCGGGAGCATATCAGTAATGGACATTAGTAACTAACGTCAAGGTACATTCAAGGAGTAGTTGAAGAAGCACAGAACAACAGGGCGACAACAAGGGGGCGCGAGTGGATGGCGGCGTGCCAGCGTGAAAGGCGCTAACAAACTCTCACCAGTTGGAAGGCGGTGCGGGGAATGCGGCCGTCCGCATCCTTGGAGTACATACGAGAGGCGCCCGTCCTGTAGAGGAGCGACGGGATGAGGGGAAATAGAAATATGTAACGGGTTTGAAGTTTCAGGTTACGGCTATCTTCAGGCATTCAGACAGCGCAGCACTGGCTGACCATTCGTGCGTGGCCTCACACCATAGCTCACCTGAAACCATAGTCGCAGCACATAACCTCGACGAAGTCTCCGTCGCGGTCGATGAAGGCACTGCATTCGTCATCCGTCGAGACGCTGTCCAGACTACTTGTGAAGAACACAGTTCCTCTCACCGATCTGCAAGCGGGTGCAATGACTCGATTACTTAAATCCTCAGAACTAGTAAAGTTGTCCCCCGCTGTGGCCCAAGATGCTTTTAAGGTAGAATACTTGCATCTGTCAACCGCCGCTGGCTGCAACGCTTTTCCTGAGGACACCGGAGACCGGGCTTACGGTGGTTTAGAGGGCGCAGCTACTGGAGCTTCAATTGGGGCCTTGGGTTCATCCTGCTGGGTTGGGCCTTTAGGAACCTGCGCCACTGCCCAAACGCGCAGAGGGCCACGTGCGGTTGCCGCTCGTAGTGAAGCATGCGAACGCTGTTGAAGCAATTGCTTATTAGGGAGAGTCGCTGGCCTCATGGCTCTTGGAAACAATGGGCTCAAGTAAGCTGCTCAAAATGCAAAAAAAGGTGTCGAGGAATGATTGCGGAAAGCGTTTATCATAATCTTATAGACTATCACCTCATGCAACAACGGGTATAAAATAGCTAGTAATCTGCGACACAGGAATGGTCAACTGTATATACGACACGTTCTGGCACATTCTCGTCGACAGCTTGGCACTTCCCGCAGCAGGCAGTATGTCATACCTTGCGTTGATAGTAGGAAAACAACTGGATATTCTATTCGCTGTCGCTGTATAAGGATAGGCTCTGGTAACGGCACTTGGCTGGCTGTCCTTAATTTGCTTCTTAGGTACTATTTATTTGGTAATAAAAGTAGTAGAGAATTATTTTTGGCATCATGCGCTTGAGTAGTTTAGGGTGAAGTGCCTGGCCAGGCTGAGGCTACTGCGCGTGCATGGCAGAAAACCACGCCGCCGCTCGCGGCCCCGTGCAACGAGTGTCGCTGCATGATGAAAAGGAACTACTCCATTTGGACCTACAGGACAAAGATCGCAAGGTGGAACAGCTCAGCAAGTCAAATGGACAGCTGGCCGCGCAAGTGCAGCAACTGCAGGCCATGATCAAAGGTGCTCCTCTGGACCGCAAGACACATGTTGCCTGGCATATGGATGTCCTCGAGGTTACGGCGCTTATCCTGCCACAACCCCTTCTTTTACGTTCTGCGGCAACCATAATCCTTCGCGCCCCTTTTTGCCGCCATCAGATGCACACTTGCGCTATGAGGACGATCTACAGCGCACCGTGGCATCGCTGCAGGACCAGTACAACTCAGCCCTGGAGGTTCTGCAGCTCGGGGCCTCCCTCGCAGCCCCAAGCCAGCCCCAAGCGGAGCCGTGCGTACCCCGGCAACCCACCTCGGCGGCGTCCATCGGCGGCACGGCTGGTGATGGCACCTCCGGCGGCTGCACGGGCGTCCACCGTCCGTCCTCCACTCGGCCTGGGCCGCTATCGCAACCGCCGCTGGCGCAGCAACATCAACAACAGCGCTCCTCGGTCCCTGGTGCTGCCTGTAAACATCACCGGATGACGGGGTGCCGGTGTTGCCCACGCGCTGGCGTGGCAGTGACCGCGGCCTGCGCCACCAAACCAAAGCAGCAGGGGCCCATCCACACGACCTCAGGCCTGTCGGACCTCCGCCTCAGCTCCCTAGGCCTCAACGTGGACGATCTTGCGCCCTCGGCTGCCTATGGTGCCACCGTGGGGCTAGTGACGGAGCCGCTGGCCGTCCTGCGGGACGTGTTAAACCTAGATGGCAGCCGCGACCAGGAACGGGAGCTGAGGCTGATGCGGGACAGGCCGCTGTCAGCTGGCGCAGCGTCTATGGCTTCCGATCCCGCAGGTAGGTTATGCTGTATGAACGCAGGCCTCTTGGTGCCTAATCTTAGCATCTCCATCCGGTTGCTGCCATGACACGTCGGCCAACAAGGGGGCTGAGCTTAGATACTGCGATAACCCGACTCCAGGCAACCAGGCCAGCCGGGGGACCTTCTGTCAGCGTACATGCAGCAGTAGGTATGCTGGCTCTCCGATGTTTGTTTGTGTTGTGCCGACGAGCGGGTTCGCCGTGGTACTGTCGTCTGCAGGTTCATTGCTGGCGCAAGCGCACTTCGAGTCGCGCGTTCGTGGTGCGTACAGATCCATGCTGTTGCAACTGCAGCACCGATACCAGCTGGAGCGCGAGCGGCAGGAGGATGCACACAAGTTAGCGTTGCAAGAGCAGGCAAGTATGCGCCTCAGTATGCGCATCCTTGGGTGGGCGTAATGAGGAGGCCAAACAAAACCCAAACGCTAACAACCATGACCCCAATGAGGTGCTGAGGTGGTACGGCAGGCCGTAATGCCCGTTTGACTTGTGGGCCATGGCCCGAGATTGTTGATTCATTTGCTGTCTGCAGCGGCAATGTCATACTGTACTTGTTCCCGCCTGCGAGCTCGTTGCAATCGCGGATATGATTTATCGAGCGCGGCCAGCGTTCGTTTGTCTCCGCGATCCATGCGGAAGCTTGCCTGAGCGACGCAAGTGTGATTTACACGATGCGATCCGATGTGATATGGCGTGTTTGGCCGGCGGTACGCAGGGGACACGGCATGAGGAGGAGCTGCGTCAGCAGGCCGCTTCACAGGCGGCCGAGCTGGCTGAGGTGGCGCGCCAGATGGAGATGCAGGAGGAGGCCTGGAGGGGGGAGTTGCAGCGGCTGGAGGTGCGGCTGGGGGCGAGGTAGGGGTTGAGGGAGGTGGGAGACAGTCCAAGGGACCCAAGCGGGGTAACGGTGCTGCCCGGCTGGCATCCATGTGAGCTCGTTGATTGAGAATGTTGATTCAGTTAGCGTCATTAAGAGTGCACATAGCTCCGTTTGCGGTATGCTTCCCGGTCTGCGTATTGCTGACAGATCTGTAAGTTTGTTGTTGCTTGCGCTTGTGCTTGTGCGCTTGTTTGTTCCGCTTGGAGCAGTTGTCTGACGTCACCCGGGCCCCGTCATGGCCCCGTGGTGGAAGCACCTCTGTGCTATGACCCGCGCCTTTTCGACTGAGCGCTCCCTTTCACCGTGTGTGGGGCTGTTCGTTGCACCATTGTGGCCGTTATACACTCGCAGGCGGCGCTCGCGGCGGCGAAAGCGGCTGCGGAAGCGAGTCACAACCAGGCAGCGGCGGCCAGGGCGACGGTGGAGTCACTGCAAGTGGGTGCAGTGTCGCACTTCGTCTCCTCCTTCCTATCCAGCAACAGGCAGTCTTCGTATTTTTTCTCAGTTGGAAAATATGTGTTTTTGCTTGGCTGGGCAAGCACACAATAGACACGCCCTCCATGCCTTACCATCTGGCGTCCATAGCACGAAATGCCCTTTTGGTCTCGACCCATATGCACTGCAGCTTGCACGGCGTGTGACGCATGCTGTAAGCACGTCAGATCCACTTTACCCTTCTGAAGGCAAACAATGTCGCAACTCCTCGCTGGACTAGCTGTAGCACATTTCAGCTCGCGGGTTGGGCGACTTCCCCAGACAAATCCCCAGCTGTGGGCGGGCAACCACTCAACCCTTACCGGACAACTCATTGCTCCCGGCTTCACTGCCGCTGCAGGCGCAGCTGCAGCTGCAGAGGGCAGCCCACGAAGCCGAGCTTCAGCATATGCGGCAGGTGGGGCTGGGGGTAGCCCTTGCTGTCTTGCAGCACATGCAGCATTATGGACGTACGCTTCCGTGATGCTGGCTGGCTGGCTGGCTGGGTCCTTATGTGTATCCAATCCCGACTGTGCTGTGTTGGCCACAATTTGGGTCGCAGGGCACTATGACGCTTGAGGAGCATGAGGAGACCGTGAGGAAGCTCAAGGTAATGCTGGGGAGCGGGTGCGCGGGGAGGCCCTTTGTGGCGCTGGAGAACTGGTGTCGCGTGTTGTGGTAGGATTCACTCGCAACCCGTCACCCGCCTGGGCGGCTTACCCCAGTGTTCACCGAGCCCTCTCATCAGCTTTGGTGTCTGATCTCCTCTCAACTTAGGGGCATCTATATTCTTGGTGCAGGCCGAATGGAACCAGGCATTGGAGCAGCGGGAACGGGATTACGGTGCGCTGCTGTCAGAGCTTGCGGGGCTGCGGCGGCAGCTCAGCAGCGCCGCGGAGCAGTCGCACTCCTCAGGTGCGGGGTCCATGTCCGTGGCGGCCCGTGCGTCCGCCGGTTGGTCTCCTGTTACGTTTTGCTCTTGTCTCTCTTTTGTACAGTCTTGAAGGGGATAGGCCTCCTTTGTGTACAATTCTTCAACTGCGCACAAGACGACTTTGCCATGGGGCTGCTCTTTTCTTTTCAGGGCCGGTGGCTCCCCGCGTGTTCACACTCTTTGTTGCTCTATTCGATTCAGGGAACAGCTGCGGCCGAGGGTCGACCATCGTTTCTCCTATGGCCGTCGCCGTCGGTGGCCCGCCGCCGCCAGCGGCAGTGGCGACGGCGACGGCGGTGCAGGCCCTCGCCCCTCCGACCATGCCGGTTCATCAACCCCACATGGCTGCGTCCTTGCCCGGCCGTGGTACCGCCGGTGGTCGGTCCACAGACGGTCGGGCACCCAGGCCGGCGAATGAAGAAGACCTTTGCCAGTCAATGGAAGGAAGACACCATCACCAACATCAACATCACCAACACCACTACCAACAACATCCCCAGGGCGTCCACGACCACCTGCATCGCCAAAACCAACCCCGGCACGCTAATCGCCAGCTGCGTCCACACCAACGGGAACGAGCCGAAGTCACAGCCCCAGCCTCCGGCACCCAGGATGTCCTAGTGGTGACCGGTAACGGGCTCCAGCTGCGGTGGGATCCGGCCACTGGCCCCAGCGTAGAGCTAAGTGGCGACAACTGCGGTGGCGGCATCAACCGTCCTGACTCGCCAGCAGGCAGCAGCGCGCACTCGGCGTCACCCTCTCTCGAGGAGGAGGCGGAGGGCAGCATCAGCTTGGAGGTGGCGGCGGCTGACAACAACGTGGGGCCGGCGGTGACGCCGCGCAGTCATACGCATCTAGGGAAAGATACAGGTGTGCGGGCGGCGATTACGTGGGGACAGGACGGAATGGGCGAGGAAAAGTAGCCGTTCCGTGACTCCACCATGTCCAGATGGTCATGGCACCGATGGTCATGTGCAGCGTGTTTTGGGGGGCTTGCCAGGCTATGCTTCCGACCAGCTGCCCTGGGACGCCGGAGAGCTGCGCCGCCTCTGCTGCCCACTGCGTTCCCACTGCGGCGTGCCGCCGCCGTGCGTCCCAGGGGCGACTATCGCGCCGCTGCCTCCTTCCCAGCTTCGTTGCTGCCCACCTTGCTCGTCTTCCGTTCGCACGACCATTTGCTTTGATGCAAATTCCTGGCTGCGGTGCCGTCAGTCTGTTCCTGTTCCTGGGCTCCGGTTTGTGTCACTGTATAGTGTCTAATTCTGCCTTCATGTGCATTTGTGGCGGCCGTTACGTGACCGTTACGCTGGAATCCCACGGCCGTGCAGCTGCCGCGGAGCTGCCGCCCCCTCCCCCCAGCTCCTCCAGCTCCCGGTTGAGTGCGCTGGTTGGAGCCGTTGTAAGCAGCGGCTCAGCCCGCCGCGGCCTGGCCATGGACTGCGCGGCCGGGTGCACAAATCCGCCCTTGCCCGCAACTGCCGGTGCTGGCCCCGACGACCCGCGGGCTGCTGGCGCTGGTTTAGACGCATACATCTTGGGGAGCAATAACGTTTATGGCAGCAGCAGCATCAGGAATGGGGATGGCGGTGGCAGCGGCGGGGCTTTTGAAATGTATCCACAGCAGCAGCGGCAGCACGAGCAGCAGCTGGAATGGGGCGGCCGGGGCACTACCGGCGGCGGCAGCAGTGACCTGGGGAGCAGCGGCAGCCAGGACCACCACAACTCAGAAATCACCCTAGGGCGCTGGCAACCGCAGTCGCCGCCTACTGATCCATGTGACAATGCGGCGGGTTGGCCAGCCGCACAGGAGCAGCGCCGTCACTGCGGCGGACGCGCCTCTGCTGCTGCTGCTGCTGGCCCGGGTGTCCCTGGTGCAGCTGCACCCCGCGCCAGTGAGTCGTCGCATCCACGGGCAGCAGCCAAGGAGCGAGGGCGGGTCCGGACGACAGTGCCGGAGACGGGGCCCCCACGGAGGCGCTCTCCATCCCCTCCCCCACCGTCACCTACCCGGCGTGGAGGCCGCCCCAAGGAGTCCAGCTGGGGGAGGAGCGGCAACCCTGCGGCTTCCGTGGTATTGCCCAGGTACGATAAGACAACCCATCAGCGCGGTGACGTGATGTTGCTGTTGTTATTGTTGTTGTCGTTACAGGGTGGTTAAGCTTCACCAGTGGCCTCCTTCCCGAGGCAATTCCCTGCTCTCCCCTGCTAGAGGGGCACCCTAATCCATTCACCCAATCCGACTTCAGAATGTACTATTTGGGTTTGGCAACTCACTACCAGCATCCAACCAAATCTAGCGGATCAACGGCGCCACACCTTAGTTCCTGGTCAGCTCGCAAGCTGCTGTCATCACGTCCTACACCGTCCATAAGATGGGGGGCCCACCTCCCATTTCAACACCCCTCACACACCGAGGGGACGGCAGGTGGATTTGAACCTGGGACGTCCGGGAGCAGAAGTCAGGCCTCAACCTCTGCCAGCCACCTACCTATTATTGTTGTTAGCAAAAAGTTTTTAAAGAAGATTGGGTTGGCGGGAGCATGTCCCACAGATAAGCGGCAATGGGCAGATAGAACGCACCTGGAGGAGCACAGGAGCGCAGCGCTGTTCAGGCGCAAAAGTTCTCAGCCAATGTCTGCCGTGGTGAGCCCAACCCGCGAGCTTGTCCTCTGGAGCCTACCTGCCCATGCCCTAGCTAGCCTACCGAAGCCTCTGTGTTGCCCAATAGCCCTTTTCTGGTTGCATACTCACTTTCATCTCCACCTTCTCATACTCTCTCCGACCGCATATTTCGCCTCTTCCTAATATCCTCCTTCCCGTCCCATGATCAGGTGCGTCCGCTGCGGCCTTAACGACGCCACGAGTCCGGGCTGCTGTCGCTTCCACCCCGGGCTGCTGAGCCAACCCGGCAGTCTGCGCTTCACGCCCGAGTGGATGACCTGTCAGGCAGCAGGCCACACCGCATGCACGCGCGGTTGCTTCGTGCGTTCAGAACACTTCTACGAGCTCCCGGGGTTGATGCCGCGGCCCGTGGAGGCACCGCAGCCGCTGCAGCCGGCGGCAGCGGCACCAGCGACACGTCGCCAGCCCGGTGAACTGGCTCCCGCCGTCCCTAGGATATCGCCTCGTGGGCGCATGGACTGGGATGAGGTTGACGCCAATGGCAGCGGCGACAGCTGCCGTGGTGGTGGCGGAGGCGGAAGCGCGCCGGTGTTGCGAAGGGATGACCGATCTGGCGGTGGTGCTGCTTCTGAAGCGGCTGCGCAAGCGCCGGCGGCTGGTGGCCGTAAGACAGCAATATCTGCACCAGCGGGCGGTCCAGTAAATAGGTGCTCAACAGTGACGCGCTCTCCGCAGCGAGTTGGAGCACGGGCTCGTAATGCCAGTGGCGTTGGCGTAGGGGGCGCAAGTGGCGGCGGCGGTTCAGATTCCCCCAGCCCCAAGCCCCGGACACGACTACCCTCTCCTATGAGGCGCTAGCAGGTTTCATGGTTGGTGTGACACTCAGCGTCACACAGTCTGCAAGGCGCCGTGATTGCTCCAAACTGACGCGCGCTGCTATTCGCATACATGTATATATATTTACTTGGTCGCGGTCTGTCACGCAGTTAAAAGATATGGAATTCGTAGGCTCATGCGCCTCAAGGCATATGTGCCGCCAGTTTGCTTTCAGGGAACAGGTCTTGAAAGATTCCCTGACGTGATGGTGAACCCTGAGCTTGTGGTTTCGGAGCGCCATGGAGACTTAAACGGTGGAATACGTCCATGTGGACTTTTTTTATCTTCGTCCTCGGGTTTACCTTTGGTCCGATTTACCTTTGTTCAGGGCCCTTCATAGTGTGCTTTGGACTTGGAGGCTGCCGGGTCGGGACTATGGGAGGAGGTCGGGCTGCGCGGCGTTCGTTTGTACGGTACTTCATGGCCATCAGCAACACTTGAGGCCAGGCTTTATTGCAGCATTTGCGGTTTTGACACATATACACCGGCGGCTCGCTGATTCCCTCAGGCCCCGCCGAAACAGGACTGCATATGGAAAAAATAAAATATGCACTGCCATGCCGTACTGGCTCGCCAGAGTTTGGGAACGAGGTGCAGTGCTTTTGACTCAACCCTTCCCTCAACGGTTCCGTTCCACCAGAATCTCATACTGCTGCTTGTACGGCAGCCCTATTCAGCATCAATTGCAGCAGAAGCAGCCTGGCTAGATGTTTTCGACGATGCAACACTATGATAGCACGACACATGTAAAGGCACGACGCCCGGCAGTGCGTCAACACAGGACCGACAACTTACCGCTAAAACAACCCCAAAGCCCTCCACTAAAACGTCATCCATAATCATTTACAATTTCAATCTACAGGTAACATCGCGAAGCGTTCGGAAGGACATTCTGGCAAATTAAACGTGTGAATGGCAGAGCCGTGAGAGGCGCGAGGCATACTAAAGCCCCGATCCGGCCCCGCCGACCGCAGGACTGCCGCTACCGCGCCGCTGCCTGGCCGCCGCCAGCTCCAAAACCATCTCAACTACCCATGCAGGCATGACGATTGTACGGCAGTTGGGGCACGTGGCGCTGGTTGATAGCCACCTGGGGCCAGCAGGAGAGGTTGGCGTGCAGGATTTCTTTGTGGAGCACAGAGAACAGCAAAAAGGTTGGGAACAACGAAACCTTTCAGGAATGCACGTCTTATCTTCAAAAGCACGGAGGAGGGGACACGTTTTGCGGCGCTGACAGTAACGGGAGCGTGTACATGTGCGCCCCTCCGAATCTCCCAGGTCCACTGGAGAGTAAGTTAACACGTACCACAACCGAAACCCGGTCAGCTCGGACAGCACGAATCGGTACCAAAACTTTTTCCCCGAGACCAAACCCAAACGCACATCAACACCGCAACCCCACGCGGGCAACATCTATGGCGTCCTCCGTGGGGCCCCATCCACCCACCTGTCAATGCAGCACCGATGGAACACATGGCCGCATCCGGGCAGCAGACGGAGCTCCTCCCCGGTCACAAACCCGCCAAGACACACCGTGCAGGTGCCCGTGCCGTCTGCCAGACGCCAAGCCAGGTGGGCAACCAGAGCGCGCTCGCGCTCCTCCTCCTCCTCGCCTCCCGCGCTGCCCACCGCTGTCCCGGCGGCGGTGGCGTCGCCGCCACCCCACTTGCCCTTTCCGTACGTGTACGGCATCGGAAGGTCTGCTGGCTTGCCGTACAGGTACCACTCGTCGTACGGGTCGTACCGGTCGTGAGGGGGTCGGGTGCGGTAGTCTCGAGGTCGGTTTGCAGCACGTGGAGGAGCTGGAGTTGCGTTGCTGCCGGCAGTGGAGGTCTGGGGTTGAGTGAGACCCTTGTGCAGGGTTGGGGCCGGGGGTGGGGGTGGGGGTGAGGACCCCCCNGATTTGCCTTGCTAAGAATGTCCGGGTGGGTCCGGGTGTCAATTTAAGAACGGGAATGGCAACTCGGGAGCTCCACACCTCTCCAGTGACCCGCAGCGCACGACACCTCGCGCACCTCCAAATCGGTTAACTCAATTCCACCAAGGCGCTCCGAAACCGCTGCAGCAGCTAGGGCCGGTTCGGACGAGGCAGCTCCTCGTGTCGGTTGTCCACCCCGGCGTTCGCCGTACGCATGCAGGACGGCGGCGGGGGCCCCCGCGGACCGGGCAGATTGGCGGCCGGCGGCGGCGGCGGCAGCGGCGGGGGCTCTGCGGCCAGCTGCGTCGGCCGTCGCAGTGGTGTTGCCGTGCCGGTTAAAGTTGTTGCGATGGTTCTGGGTGGCGAGGGGAAGGCGGAAGAGGCTTCGGACGGCAGGGGCGGCAGCGGCAGGGGCAGCCGCCGATGGTCCCGGCGGCGGCGGCGGCGGCGGCGGCGAAGACGAGCGAGCCGGCGGTACATGTCCAGAGCTAGGAAGACCTGACCTGAATCGCCTGAGGACCCGGCACCCCCTGCTGCTGGTAGGTTGACGGCTGGGCACCGAGTACGGCTGCGTCACTATCGACGTTGGCATCGCCGCCGCCGCGGCCGCGACGGCTGCGTTCACATTACGGATTTCAGACTCGCTGAGGCTGCGCATCGGAGTCCCCGGGGGGTGCGGCTCCCGGGGAACTGGTGTCGCCGCAGCCGTTAGCCGCGACGGCGGCGATGCAGGACTGCCACTGCCGCCAGCACCTCCGTCAGGCCGACCGATGCCGGCGCTATATTGACGGTTGCTGATGTCATCATTCCAATCGCCGCCTTGAGACGGCGGCGGCGGCACTGCCGGCACCGGCGATACCGCCGCCGCAGTCAGGCCGCTTCCCGGCGCTATGCTATTGCCTCCGCCGCTGCCTCCGTTGTCGTGGCTGTCCGGGGCTATCTGTGTGGGCCCCGCCGGTGCCGCCGCCCCCCGGGGCTGCGGCTCTGCGGGTACTCCCTGCGGCGGCGGCGGCGGCGGCGGCGGGCAAGAAGAGGAACTGATGATGACCCAGGTGGGGACGACCATGACGAAGAGCGCTGTG